TAACACAAAAGTGACCAAGTTTGTGGAAGTTTCTGATGGTACTCTTTTTGTTGATCTGAATCTTTTTATTGTTGGGCCCGAAACACGTTGGTTCAACATTTACCCACTTAGCTTCTGAGAAGAATGTATGTACTAAGAGTGAATAGCTGCTTTATGTACCCAGCTTTTGTGTTTATTCGGGAGTGAAGACTGATGTTTACTAAATCCCTCAAGATAAAACTGAAAACATTTTATTATGGTATTGCAGAGGATTTAACCCTTAAATGTAGCGAATAGGAAAAGGAAGTGTGTCATGGCTCCATGATGTAGATTTAGGGGTGACAAAGATGTTGGGGGGTGGTCACTGAGTAGAGCCATGCAGAATTATGTTAACTAAAGATGAGTGTTAGCCTATTAAAAGATAATTCCAAATTCCTGACAAATTTTTATGTCTACAGTGGCTTCAGTATTGAACTGGCATCTGCCCTCACTGTGTTAATTGCGTCAAATGTTGGCCTTCCAATCAGTACTACACACTGTAAAGTAAGTGTATTTCATGGCTGTGGTAATGTGTTTTATGTTTTGCTGCTTTAGAAAGTTTTACATAGTTGTTGTCTTATGGACAAGTAACTCCAAGGAATAATAGGCTTCTATTTTACAGTTTCTTGCCTGTTACTTAAGTTCTCTTATATAGAACTGGCTGTGATTTTTGGCTGCTAGCTTCTTCATCTTCCATTGTAACTGTTGAATACAGTCACTTGATGGTATGTTTGGTTATATTCTTTTCCTGTGGGGAAACCATTGAGAATTGTGTGGGTGTGAGCTAATAAACTGGCCAGCTATTTGGTTCTGGCTGGGTAGACTTTTGCTATCATTTGTGAGGCTTGTTGAACTGTTGGGAGATGGTTTATAGAAAGCATATATTCAGGGCTTTTCAGAACTGAGGTACCAGTGCAGTCTCATACCATTTTTACGTAAAATTAGCACAGATTTAACGATTGGATTTTTACATTGCTCTCTTCTTCCCATCAGTAATCATGTTTTTGGTACAGGGGATCAAACTCATGACCCCACACTTGTCAGGAAGGCACTTAGGCTGCTGAGCTAAGTCCCCGGCCTTCCATGAATACTCATAACCTGTTAGAAACCAACTTCCATGGACTTGGTCTTGTCCAGTGGGCCAGGCCCCTTGTCTAATTTCAGGTGTCTTTTTGCTGAATACTTTGGGTACCTAAATAACTAGTTTTCTTGGTCTGTGTCTCTCCTAGGTGGGCTCTGTTGTGTCCGTCGGTTGGCTCCGATCTAAGAAGGCTGTGGACTGGCGACTCTTCCGCAACATTTTTATGGCTTGGTTTGTCACAGTTCCCATTTCTGGCATTATCAGTGCTGCTATCATGGCAGTCTTCAAATATCTCATCTTGAGAGTGTGAATCTGAGATTTTAAATTTATGTCAATGTTTAGGACCACCTTACATGTTCCTGCTCCCTTGAAGAATGATCACAGTGTTAATGAAGACCTGAAAAAAGTCTTTTTAAAGTTTGGGAGCTGTGGAAAGGAAGTGTTACCTTATGCTGTAATTGCTTTTGTGCTAAATATGACTTGTCTCAAAATTAGCTATGTAATATAGCCAGGTTTCCATTGATTCCTGCTGAGGTCCCCTTCTGGGCTGTGAATTCCTGTACATATTTCTGTACTTTTTGTATCAGGCTTCAATTCCATTATATTTTAATGTTGTCTCTAAAGATAATTGTGTGTGTATGTGTGTGTGTTTATTTCTTTTCTTTCTTTTTGTTTAAACAACTACGCAGAGCCAGTTGACAGAGTATACTCTGCTTTGTTGGTTTCACCAGCTTCTGCCCTAACATGCACAGGGACTTAACAATAAAACTTGTATCTGAAGCTTCCCTTGTAGCCTCCTATAGAAATAGTCATTGGCACTCTGATAGTTGTGGCAGATTGTATTGGCATATGTGGGAACTTTGAGGGATGAGGTCCTTTGAACACTGAAAACTTAAGTTACTTAGTAACTTCTTTGTAAGCAGTTCATTGACTGTTGCTAAGAAGTAGGGGAATAAAAGCCTTTTGGCAGTCTCTTCATAATTTAAGATTTTTTTCTGACAGTGTGGGATGGATGAATGAAGTGGAATATGAACTTTGGGCAAGTTAAATGGGACAGCCTTCCATGTTCATCTGTCTACCTCTTAACTGAATAAAAAGGCCTACAGTTTTTAGAAAATTGGCTCTCATGGTTTTTGTTCATATTTGAATTGTCTGCTTCTGATCAATTAGTCTTACACTGTGCTCACAAATGTGTGAATGTCTTCACAAGTGAGTTCCTATCCACTTTCAAAGCCCATAGCCTCTTTTTATGCTTCTGGGATCCCAAGGTACACATGACATTACTCCCTGGAGAATTGTTGGAGCAGCCTGGCATTTTTCCTTTAAAACATTTTCATGTTAACAATTTGAGTTTTCCTGTTTGAATGGACTATTCTGCTTCATGCTCTTGAATGCTGGGATTACAGATGTGCACCACTGAGTTGGCCCTGACTTACAGATTGTTTCTAGCTTTGATAGAACACACAAAGCTGAGATGAGTTTTGTATATGTGTACTTCAGCTTCCTTTAACAGTTGCCAGTTTTGGATTCTTCAGTCTTGATCTGTTACTACTTTTATCCTTGATCAGAACAGCTAATAAAAAGTACATTTCTTTGTTAACTAGGTTGATGGTTTCTGCCCTGGAAGTTGTGGGGCAGTATGTTTGAAGTCTTGGATTTATTTAGTATTTTAAAAGAATCCAGCAGTAAGACTGTGCCTGTTCCGACCTGTGCCTGCCTGTTGGCTTCCCATAAACCCAGGTGTTTCCAGGTCCCTGTGCCTAGTGGAACGCAGTACCCTTTCCAGCATTTTGGAAGTACAGTCCTTCCTGGGAAGGAGGAACCGTGACACTGTCTAATGAGGAAATGTGCTGAAAGAATCCTGAACTGTTTTTCTCACACATACCACCCTCCCTGCCCAATTAAGGTTGTATACAGTTGACTAGAATTTTTAACAAAAGCTAATGTCTTGCTGTTTTCCCTTTCCAGAGTCAATCATTTTGGGTATTTGCTGCTGTCTAGCTTGATAGATTGACTTTTACCTTAAGTGTATAGTCAGCAGTTGTAGGTCCTTTCTCTTGGGAAGTTCTCAACCAAGGCTAATTTTTACTAATCCCATCCCTGTATGTGACTGTCACAGCTGACTGGGAGGCTGCTGTAAACATCTGATGGTACACAGTGCTGTGGAGGTGAGAAACCCTGATGCAGGGCAGTCTGGTTGGACTCTTGGCCTGGGAAGCCCCAGGGAAGACTAAGAAAGGCAAAGACCTGATGCTCCAAGCATCAGGTGTGGGACTCCGGGGGAAGAAGTCACCATGTATTTTGTATTCACCTTCCTGGTAGTATACGGAGTCTTTGTTTCCTATGGCTCTGATAAGCATGAGTTTTCGCTATTGGGGATTAGGTAAATAATACTAGTGCCTGGTTAACATGGTTCACTTTTCAGTCATGTTGGTTTATTAGCTGAGTAACTGTATAAAATGCAAATTGATTGCTCCCTTTTTAATTTGCAAATCTTGAGAAAATACCAGCTGCAGGTGTCATGATCTGTGATCAGCACATCAGTTCTTTCCAAGTGTGTTGGTAATTGGTTGACTGCAGAACCCATGACAGGTTTTGATTGTGTTACTCCCTTAACGCTCAGTGGTAGGGATGCTAGGCTAACTTCAGACTGCTGTTATGCTGCAGGTACTCTTGTGAAAATCTGCTTTTTATCATCAAACATTTTTATCAGTATAGCCAGTGGCTAAAGTTTATTTCAATTTTTAAAGCTTACTTTAAAAAGTTTTTATTTTGTGGCTGGGGATTTAGCTCAGCGGCATAAGTGCCTGCCTTGCAAGCATGTGGTTGTGAGTTTGATCCTTGGTACCTATAAAAAAAAAGTTTTTATTTTGAGATAGGATCTTGCTAATTGCCCCTGGCTGTCTTGAACTGCTGGGCTTAAGCAATCCTCTTGCCTTACCTGAGACACCAAGTGAGTGCTACTGTGTCTCCCTGAAAGCTTTAGACTTTCGGATAGGCTCTTGATTATACACTCAACAGCTTGCAAATTTACCTGTGGTTTGAAAGAAATTGAGCTCGTCATGGTAAAAAGTAACAGTAACATTTAGTGGGACAGGAACTACAAATGACTTCAGGGATCAAACCGCACATTCATTGAGATATAGTTGAAGGTTGGTGGGGTGGCTGTTGGAAATTCTAGGTAGGCAGATGAACCTACAGAAAGTAAACTTAAAGAGAAGTGATTACGGTAAAGAGAAAGATACCACTGAGGAAGTGATGCTGGCCCAGAACTTGACTATAAGAGACTTCTTGGAGATACTTGATAACTCTCAAAAGCCCAAAGGGTAAAATAGCAGAAGCTGATTTAAAAATAAAGTACTTAATGCCAGTATTTCTGATGTCTTAAATTAGTGTACTAAAAATTATAACTTTACTATTTTTCATTTCTCTGTTTTAAAATATTTTAACAAGTTTTAAAAGTTCACTGAACACCTATACTTCTTTCTGTTATTGGACCCCTTTGTGTGGCTTTAAGCCTGCTTTGTCGTTTTTGTGGACCCACTTCTGCTGTGATGTCTGTGCCCTGTCCCGGCTCCCTACCTATTTCCCATTTCCAGGCCTCCTTTTGTACAAAGTGCACTTGCCAGCCTAGTGTCACCTGGAAGATAAATACCTGATTTTGGGAACCCAGAGAAGCTTAATGCTATTTCTTTAAAAAGGGAAATTTTGTTATGGAAATGGTTACAATGTACCTCAAAGACCATAAGGGGCCCCATGCAGTCACCCAGTGCCAACAGGCTTCAAGAACAATCAACTTTGCTATTCTTGTTTCATCCATTTCCTCCCCACACACATTTGGTTATTTTAAACCAAATCCCAGACATATCTCACCTGTAAAATACTTCAGGGTATGTGTAAGAGACAGTTTTTTTTTTAAAGTGTTAGCAAAATATGTTGTAAAATTAATAGTAATTTATTAATAATCATCTAATACTCCATCTGCCCTGCATTTTAGACTTCCAGTTTTTCTGGCTTTAGCCCCCTTCATCTCTTCCAAAATGCCTGGGTCTCCAATTTCTGTACCTTCCAGTGGCCAGCTTAGCTTTAGCCTCCCTGGTCTGCCAAGTCCATCTGCTTTCCAGCTGCCGCAGTTTTGTGATTATCTCCCTGCCTGTCCGCCACACCGCCACAGTCTTCCCAGATGTTGTGTTGGTGGTGATTCAGAGTGAACATCATTGTTTTAACCTGTGTTTATTTAAGAATGCTTGATTAGTTTATATGTTAGTAATATTTTTTTAAAGTGAAAAAAATTTTTTTGTCTGTTTCCTTTTTATCGGTACCAGGGATCAAATTCACTGCCTGCTTGCAAGGCAGGCGCTTGTGCCGCTGAGCTAAACCCCCAACCCCTAAAGTGAATTTATTTTTTCTTTCTTCCGGTACTGGGGATGGAACTCACGACCACCTGCTTGCAAGGCAGGTGCTTATGCCACTGAGCTAAATCCCCAGCCTCTGAAGTGAGAAATTTATTGGGCTGTTCATATTGGAAAGAATTCTAACAATTAGGTATAAAAAGTAAGAGAATGAAAGAACCCGGTTAGTTTCCCCTTTCCCAGTCTCTCTACCTGAAGGAAACATCTATCAAAAGTTTGCAAATCCTTTAGGAATTTTGCCTAACTGTAGTTGTATATGCGTAAATACCTGCAGAATAGAGGAGATAAAGCTGTTTATTCTGTGGTAAAGCCCTCTTGGTATGTAGGGGTCAGATTGTTTCATTCCTAGAATCAATGTCAATGTGGAGTCACATGGTAGTTGACACTAAATGAGTGTTACACAACTGTGCATGTGTTTACTTGCAGGTTGCCATAAATGTTGAAAATCGGGTTAAACTGGGCCAAACCAGTGCTTTCATTTCCTTATTGGCAGGAAATAGAAGGATTTGTTCTCACTCTGCCTCACTTTCACCTCTAAGCAATATAAAATTGCTTTCCAAAGATGACAAAGTGAAGACTTGCTCATTAAAAGCTGGCTTATGGTGGTCCTTGTATGGTGGTCCCATGGTGTGGGGACACCGGAGCTGCTGAAAACTCCATCATTGTGTTTTTGCTGGGTATTAGATGTTTGCAAATATCCTAATTGCTAACAGTTTTCTCTTGGCTCTCACCAAAAGCTTGTTTAGCTCTCTGAATTTCTCGAGGTCACTGAACTCATTCCTCATCATGTGAAAATTGTTTCTCTTTTTAATGTTCTCTGCCTTTATCTTCACCTGGGCTGAAAGCTCTACATTCTTTTTTTTTTTTTTTTTTTTTGTCTTTTTCATTTTTATCGGTACCGGGGATCGAACTCACGACCGCCTGCTTGCAAGGCAGGTGCTTATGCCGCTGAGCTAAACCCCCAGCCCCAAGCTCTACATTCTTTAACCTTCCTTTGTTTCACCTGAGACACAGGTGAATGAGGCACTTGAAAAGCTGAGAAGCCCCAGCCAGCTGGAGATGGTAGAGATGCTCATGTCAGACTTAGTTTTGTGACAGATGGAGACTTTTGAGACTTTATTAATAAACTTGAAAAATGAATACTAAAATGAAACGCTAGAATTGCTCATTGGCAGTAGTATGTGCCTTTCGAATGATTGGGTTTTTGTATAAACTTTTGTTATTTACAGAGATAATGCAGGATTTCTTGATCTTTTCTGAACACTGGTGCAGTACAGAAAATACTTATTAAAAGGAGCATGATGGTTATTTTCTGGAAAGTACTGAAACGGTAACAAGCTTTCTCCTCCCCCGGTATTATTGCCAAAGACCTAGATAGCAGGTCTTCACTTCCTGTTCGTTCTATTTCTAGAAGCAAGCAAATGTTCTCTAATTGCAGGCTTGGGCTGAATGCCTCAGCAGTGTTTCCCACTGTGCTAATTGGAAAAATATAATTTTCAACTGACTGTGTCCTGCTTTGTAAAATAATGGTTGGCAGCTGGTGTTGCCAGTTTGATTCCTAAAGTGAACTAGTGTTTAGTTGTTTAGTAGCATGGGTAAATGAATAATCGACCTTTGGAAGTCTCAGGGAGAACCTGTGCTGTGTATCAGAGCCATTAGAGAACTAACTTCAGCCCAGGAACACTGAAGTACTCACCCACTGGTTCTGTGTCTTTTTCTAGGAGCCTTTATTGAATTTAATTTCAATTAAAAATTTTGGGGAGGTGGTGTTCTGGGAATGTTAGTCAATATTGCCCGTTGATTGAACAGTCCTGTGATAGGTCTTATGCGTTCCTTATTGATTTGAAAGGAAGCCAAATTTCTTTTAGCTGAAGCTCTGGCTTCTTTCAAGTTTCCCATCAGACTGAATGTGGTTGACTGTACCAGCTTTTTGGAAATACTATCAGTGTGGGAGTACAGAGTACTCCTGTTTAGAATCTCATGTCTTCTAGAGTGGTCCTCTTGCATTCTGCCCAGAATCCTTGCCCAGCACTGAGGAGGGCTTTCTAGTCTTAAGATTGCACTGGAAGCAGAGACCTCAAAGTCACCAGGTTACATCCTTTGTACGCTATAGTATTTAATCAAGAGCATAAGCTTTGGAGCCAGACCTACCTGGGCCCCCCCCCCCCAGGGATAGAAATAAGGACTTTATACTTTCTACTGAGCTATACTCTCAGCTCTTCATTTGAGACCAGTTCTTGCTGAGGTGCCTAGGCTGGACTCCTGCTTTATCCCCTTGAGTAGCTTGGATTACAGGCTTCTGTCGCCATGCCCGGCCCCTGTCAGGGTTCTAATTCCAGCTCTACCACTTCTAGTTAATGTGACCTAGGAAGATAATCTTTCTAAACCTCAGTACTCTCATTTAAAGATTAGTGATGATGCTAGTATTTATGTCACAGGATTTTCATGAAGGCTAAATAAAATAATGCTTGTGATGTATACAGTGCTTGACTTCTTAAGCACTTCTTTGTGTTTAACTGACCTCATTCACCATGTGAATATGCAACTTTTCTTGACATGGTAATATTCTTCTTGGCATTGATTCCCTTGGTATCTTTTCCTTACCATGGTGTGGCAAATAATTTTCCTGAACTGTCTTCATGTTTTAAAGTCTAAAATGAAGGATTAATTGTGGTGCATTGGCTTTGAGGACAAGAGTATGTGACAAGACTATATTAATTCAGATGAAAAACTTCAAGAACAAAAAAGAAAACTTACTTATTTTCCAAGTGGTGTGTGTAGGGGTAGCCCCAGTGGTTCCATGATCAGCAAGGTAGAAAGACAGGCCTGTCTTCCCATCCCCAACAGGTGGTTGCCACCTCCAGATCCCAGGGTCCCAAGATGTCAGTTGTCTTAGTCTTGGTAACAGGAAGTTTGACCACATCATTTAGAATCCTGGTCAACAGGAAATGACAAGTAGATGCTTCAGTAAGACGTGCACTTTCCAGAAGGCGGATACATACCCTTGTCCCGGTACCAATTTCTGCATCAGGATCCAGTCAGGAGACAAATCATAGTCACTGCAACATAATTTACAGTTAGAACTTTAGTTGTTAAATAGGTAGAAAGTGTTAATCCAGTCACTAAATGGCAAGAAACAAACTCATGTGGCATTGTGGTAGCAGTTACAAGGCTGGAGGGATGAAGGCGAGGCTGCAATTACTAAACTTTAGAAGCTTGGAGAAGCTCTCTGTGAAGCTCTTGGAGAAAGGGCTCTGCTGGAACTGATGGCTTGTCAGCTTGCAGCCCCGTGGTCCTAGATCTAAGGCTGCGGAGAAGACCGTGCTGGTGGCTGATGAGGTTTCCAGGGTGAGCAGCTAGCTGAGCGAGAGTGGAGCCTGACTCCCGTGTCAGAAGCGTGTTTGGTTGGTTTTGGGGAAGAGAAACCCAGCAAGGAGTATGTTGGTTTTCCTGCCTGCAGTCGTGGCTTCTCAGAGTGTCCCTTGTGTGCAGAGTGAAACGGCAGCGGCTGCATCACAGGCGTTTGGGAAGAGCCCGGCCTCAGCATTCACAGCAGAGCTGAGCTGAGGTAGCTGCAGGCTTCACTGGCTTCTGCGGGTTTCCCCATTTTAAAGGTAGTGTTAGCCCTGTGGGGTGATGCATTAGCTGAGGGGAGACACGGGGGTCCTGTGATGCCTTGTGCCCCAGCAGTTGTTCACCCAAAGGCTTTTGTGCCCACTGAAGGATCTTCCTTCAGTCAGTAATTATTAGGTGACCATTGCTGTAGTCAGGGGTTGTACACAGAGAACAATTCAGATCAGGACATGGAGTTTGTAATATTTTTATAATGGTCACTGGAAGTTAACACCGGAGAATGCAGGAAATCTATCCGCAACACCAACAGCCCTGGGTAAACTCTCAGCCAACAGTTGCCATTTTCCACTAGAAACTGTGTGAATAAACCATCCTGGAAGTCGATTCTCTGGGTAGTCATCCTGAGTGCTTCTCAAATACCTAATCCTCCATGTGCAGCCAAAAATCAAATGCTGGTTTTAACTCACTGCATTTTGTTATGTAACAATAGAGCTGTACCTAAGGCACAAGCTGAAGAGATGCTTTTTACCTTCATGGATATCAAAATTTCATCAGATCATAGTGCAGTGAAGCTGGAAATCACTGGCAAAAGACACACAAATTATGCAAACACATAGCAACTGAACAATACACTCTCAGAAGAAATCAAGAAAGAAATTAGATTCTAAAATGGAATGATAATACCAGTAAAACGTACCAGAACCTATGGGGTACAGTGTAAACAGTCTTAAAAGTTTGTAATTCTGAATGTCCACATCAGAAAGACAGAGTGAGCCCAAATAAATAATCTAATGATGTACTGAAGGTCCTAGAAAAAACAGGAACAATCCAAATTCAAAACTAGTATAAAGAAGGAAATCATGCAGTCCAAATCTTCAGCCCACCTAGCACAGCTCTTTTAAATTTACTTTTCCCATGCTATATAAACAGTACATTATTAGTTATCTACCTGTGTTCCCACAATTGTTATTTTCATTTTTCCATGTTCTGTTTTGGTTTTTGCTTGAAGTGCACATTTAACTTGTAATTAAATATGTAATTATGGAATAAGTAGAAACAATTTATATTTCCTGTGTCATATAATTTTTAGATGGGTCTTGGCCAAAGGGAAATCAGACAATAATTAGGGTGGTACAAAATTAGTTGTAACTGGCATTAATTGAACCTGCACTTCTTTACCTCATTTACTCCTCACGGTAACTCAGCAGGAATATTCATCGTGCTGATGAGAATCTTACTGAGACATTGTAGAAGTTAGGGAAGCAACCCAGGGTCATGCAGCCAGCATGCTAGAGTGTGTGTCATCACGGAGGTGGAGAAAGTTAAAAGCAAAGCAAGGACAGTGTAGATGGTGCAGTGGCACCCAGCCAGCAGAGCAGGAGCATTTCCAAGCCTGAGACAGATGAGACTGCCAGGTGCCAGCTGGATTGGGGCTCTAAGTACATGGAAAACTATTTAGGGACCATTGGAACAATTTGGAGCATGCTTTGACAATTATTCTATCAAAAAATTCTCCAGCCAGCAGAAGATCCAGGTAACATACAGACACAGACTATCATTGAGATGTCTGTGTGTCCTCAAAGAAAGGGTCCCTAACCTGAAGCTTTGGGCTGTATGCTTTAGGGGTCTTCAAAGTCAATAAAAATAAGTGAGTGATTGAAGGAGAAAGACAATGAACCCCAAGATTGTGGATGATTTTGGCTTTGTACAGGGTGGAGATGTTCGTGTTACCCTGTTTCTGGATACCCTTGCTTATTAGATTTCCTGTACAGACAGGCCAGTGTGTAGTGCTGCAATCATAATTGTAAGGATATCGATAATGCCGTGATTTCAGAATGCCTGGCCTGCAGCGCTCTTTCCCAGTGCACACCAGGGTGTGGCAGTGTCATTTACCTTGATTACAGGGGCAACCTGGAGGCAGAGAGGATCACAGCAGGTGAAGGCTGAGTTTTCCTCCCAAACTCTGTGAAAGGAGGGATCATCTGCCCATAGTGGCAGTGGCTCTCAGCTGGAGCTAATTGGGTCTCCTTAAGGACACATGGTGATCTCTAGAGATGGTTTTGGTGGTCATAACTGGGGGGATGCTGGTCAGGGAATGTTGCTAAAAAGACACCATGTGTCTCTGTGCAAAGAACAAAACCAAACTCTCAGAAAATACTCACTGTAGCATTGTTACAACAGGAAAAAAAAAAAAAAAGAGAAAATCTAAGTGTCCAACCATCATCTCTGTGCAGGAGTCATTAACTATAGTGTAACCAGAGTTTAAAAGGATACTTTGGAAAGATGTTTGTACTCAGAAAGGGAAAAGCAATTTGTAAAATGTTGTTAGAATTTCTAAAGGATACTGCTTTGGGTTAAGCAAGAAAAGAAGGTTATTTTAGAATCTCAGCAGAGAGCTTGTAGAGTACTGACGGTACAGATGCTGTTCTCCTTAGACATCTGCAGCCTCCTGGTCTTTGCACTCGATCCTTTCTTTCCTTCTCTGTGGCCGCAGTCTTCCGGTCTGTCTAAGGGGGCTTGATGTCAGACCTCCATGTGCCTACAGTTTGTGTTCCTGCTGTTGGATTGACAAGCTCTGGTTTGCCCTGGGCTTAGCTACGGTTTGCATATAACAGTTCCTACCTAAAAAGCTTATGGGTTCCTAAGTGATTGGATCATGAGGGCTTTAACATTCACCAGTGAATTAATTCATTGATGGGTTCATAATTTAACAGCATTGCTGCGAGGTATTGGAAATTTAGGGTAAGGGACACGATTCCAGGACTACACCTTGCTCTTCCTTCTTCTACCTCTTCCTCTTCCCCATCCCTTCCCCATCTACTTACTTTCCCTTGTCTTTTCCCCCTCTTCTCTCTCTCTCTCTCTCTCTCTCTCTCTCTCTCTCACACACACACACACGCGCACACACACACACACACACACACACACACACACACACACGAGCGCACTCCCCCTCCCCCCATTTCAGGCTGCTATTCATGAGCAGTTTTCTCTGGCATTCCCTTCTGCCGAGATGTCTCTGCCTCCTCCCCACAGGTCAAAGAAACCAAAAAAACAAAAAACTGAACCAGGTGACCATTGACTGAAACTTCGGAAACCATGAGCTACAACAAACCTATATTCCTCAAAAAAATTGTTTTAAAGATACTTTGTTGTAGCAATGCAAAGATGGTTTAACACTGTGGTCCATGTGACTCCTGAATTTAGGTATTCATTTTAATGAAAACCTTACAATAGTAAAAGTAAATACTGACCAGTTATCAGCTGTCAGCGCTGCAGATGAAAATGTAAGCCAAGGGACAGTGTGTTTACACATGAAGAGTCTGTGCTAATGAGCCAGTTTGGGCTGGCTGTGAATGAAAAGCTGATGTCTGAGGCTCACTCAAATATCACAAAGTTCTAAATACAAATTAGATACTTTTTCTGTGTTAGGTAATTTTAATGACATGCAATTATACTGAACTGTGTTAGTCAATGAGTTACATTTTTAAAGGTGCTTTTCTGAATTGATATAACAACTTACAGTGCGACCTTGAACTTGGATAGTATGTTCCTTGTCCCTGATGTTACCATAAAGATCAAATGTGTTTAAACAGAAGCACTCCAGAAACCAGGAGATTACAGACCCATGGAAGTTGTTGTAATGATTAATCATCATTGTTTATTTTCTTTTAACATAGCTTCAACTGACTCTAATCTTTGGAGCTTCTGAGTGTTCTCCCCCTCATCCTCTTCCTGCTCCTCCCTTGTTCCTCCTCCTTTTTCACTACCTTTTTCTCTTCTTCCTCTTCTTGCTCATCCTCTTCTTTTTCTGTACCTGGAGGTTAAATCTAGGGGCCTTTGCACTGAGCTGTACCCGCCCCTTTTTATTTTTATTTTTTGAGACAGAGTCTCAGTAAGTTCCTAAGTTGCACAGGCTGAACTCAAATTTGCCACCTCTTCCTGCCTCAGCAGGAATCTTCTCATCAAGTACTGACCTCAGGATAAAGATGCTATTCTGCCTTCAGCTCAGAGCCCACCTTCTCATGGTGACACACATAAATCCACTTGCAGCTGCCAGGAGCTGGCTGGAGCTGAAACTCACTGTAACCTTTCCCTCTCAACCGCTCCTTTTTTTACAACCGGGCAAGGTATTTCCCATGTGCCTTCTCACCAGCTCTGCACGTGGCCCGTCCTGCCTTCTGCAATCACTGTAGGTGACAACTGCTGTTGGAATGCTCTGCCTTTTGCCCCAGGACCCGACGATCAGTGATGTGTGCAGTTCTCCACTCCTGCCCCGGAATGAAGAGGGAGTGAACCACGGGCGTGAGCCAGGGCCCTGCTGGCCTCCCTGCACCGTCAGGGCTCAGACGGAGCCCACCACTCCGCTTCTGATGGACTCTCACTGTGTGGGTCCCTTGGAGGTAGAGACATGGACCTTCCTCTACCCAAACCAGTATCACCTTTTGGAGCCTATTGGGATACACAGATCCAGAACCTCTGGCCAGCCTACACTGTCCTGGTGATGCTGTCTGCAGGTGGGGTGGTTGGGTCTCCTCCAGGAGGCAGTGGGTTGTTGTCATCCTCCTTTCTGGGCTGCCTGAGACCTGTAGGGGGGCCTGGGGGAGGGTTTCATGTCACCTGCTCACCTCAGCTTGGTCTCCTTTGGTGCCTGCTCAGAAGATGTGGGGAGACAGCAGGGGGAAGCTCTGCTCAGAGGTTGTAGGAGACAGCTCGGGAAAGCTCTGTTCTCCCAGATGCTCGAAATTAGGGCCTCATCTAGTTATGTCCTGCATCCAACTGGCCCCTGAGAGTGTGGCCTAAGAGTGGCCACACACTTCTGTTACTCAGTCACAGGGTGTAAATATCAGATTCTCTCAGAACCATTCATTATTCATGTTTTTTAAGATCAACTTATAAGAGATACACTTGGGATACAATAAAACTACCCATTTTAAGGATGCTGTGACATAAGTTGTGTATTAGTGTAAATATCTATCACTCCCCACATTTTCTTCTTGCCCCCTATAGCCATTCTCCTCTATGTCTGCCTACTTCCTGTGGTCATAATTTTGCCTTCTCTAGAATTTCATATAAATTTAATTCAGATTTCCGTGGTATTTTCTTTTTATTGCTGAGTAATATTCCATTGTATGAGCATACCACAATTTTTAATAGCTCTCTTCTATTTGACCGTGTGGCAAATTTTCTTTTCAGTCTGAGGGCAGTGACTGTCAGGGCCACTGGAGGTCTTTTATGAATTTGCCGATTATGTATCTCCTGCCTCTTGTCTGCAAATCTGGGCTTCTTCTCTCGCCATCCCTGCCTTGTCTTAGTTCTGCTGCAGAGTGGAGCTATTCTGCTGGTTGTTTAACATTATTTTTAAACATAATCATTTATTACACAAGTAATATAAAGTAGCACCAAGACATGCCAGATAAAAAACTTTTAAAAAGAGCATGCAATCCTGACATCTCAGCAAGTGAAGATTCTCAACCGGTGTTAGCAGACTACCAGCTTCCCATCGCCTGCTTCTTCAAAAGGCAGTTTTTATGCCAGAGTGCATATTCGACTTTATCTTTTCTCATATATAGACATGCTGATATATATTGGTAGACACATAACATTTTTAAATAAGTATTTTTTAAATGTTTAAAAATAATATATGAATGTGGTAAAAAAAAAAAAAACTTGAAGGAAAAATTCAAAGGAAAATAAAAATCTCCCTCCGCGGGTGACACACTCCTCAGGGACAGCCGCTGGGAACAGGTTGGCGTGTGTCCTCCCAGCGGTCACGCTGTCCCATAACCACGTTGTATGGGACCTAAATAAGTCCTGGCTTTCATCTCTATGCCTTCGTGACACAGCCAGAAGGAACACAAACCTGGCTTCACTTCTGTTCTAGCCCAAGTGTTTTCTAGATCTCAACTGAAGGTCTCTGGAGAACACAGAGGAGAGGGGTACTGATGGTCGTCCATGTGACAAGTAGGAGTCTTGGGTGTGAGTGGCAGAATTACTGTTGTGGTAATACCGGCACTCACAGACTCTCTGGGTGACTCACAGCTGAAGGGGGGGGTGGTCAGCTCAGCAAGCAAGACCCCCCCAAAGTATGTTGCAGGCTTAATGTGGCTAAAAATGTCATGAATGCTGGGGTCATGGTGGCATAACCCTGTAATTAGCTCTTGGGAAGCTGAGGCAGAAGGATCCCTGCAAGTTCAAGGCCAGTCTGGGTTACATGGTGAGTTAAAGGCAAGACTGAACTACATAGCAAGACTCTGACTCAGAACATGAATAAATAAATAAGTACCCTTTCCTATTCATAAAATAAATGAAATTACAACACAATAAAATAAAAATGTCATGCCCACTAGCATGGGCATGATAGCTGCAGCTTGCAGTGTTTCTCTCCCTACTCTGGATCCTGGTTGCTACCTGTGAGGACCTGGCACTGCCACCCTGGAGACTTATACTGCCACCACCATCCTGTTCACTAAGTGAATTTTGCAGAGGGCTTTATATCACTGACCTGTGTCACTGGGTGAGCTGATGTGACCAACAGAGCTGTGTTTCCATACATGCCCTGCCAGAGAAACTGGAAATGTGTGTCTCTGGTATTTCAACTTCTATTATGAAGAAAATTCTGCTTCCTAAAGAGAGAGTTCCTTAGACACATGAAGTTGTTAGGTGGCCCAAAATATTGCAAATTGCCTTCTATGATACCACTCTGTAAAAGTTTAAAAAAAAAAAGTTATCTTCTATCTGCTTGATTCATCTCTCTTTCTTTCTTGCTCCTCCATCTTGCTCAGCCCTTTTCTGCCTTAGGGTGCTCTCTCTCTTTTTTTTTTTTGTCTTTTTTGAGATGGGCTCTGGCTATGCTGTTCAGGCTGGCCTTGAGCTCACTTTGTAGCCCAGGCTGGTCTCGAACTTGCAACGATCCTCCCACCTCAGCCTCCTGAGTGCTGGGATTACAGGCATGAGCCACCACGCCCAGCTCAGGGTGCTCCTTTCATCCTTATGATATGGTGGGAAAACTGAAGACTTCAGATTTAATGGTTTTGTCACTGCTGTCTACACATATGAAAAGGAACAAAATATGACTGCTTTTTTTACACAAGTGGTGTTTAACTCTGCACAAGGGTTGGCACCTTGCTCTAAACAGCACAGATTAGAGATCATTTCATTTTCATAATAAGCAGAGCTCTGCCTTCCTCTTTTTTGTGCCAAAGTCATGAACACAATGTGATTTCTTGACTACCTCTTCTCCTGATGGGCATTAGGAGAAGAGTCTGCAGGGATTCAAACAGTGCTGCATCCTTGTGTGTGTGCATTACTCACCATAAGTGGGCACGCTGCTTAGCATAGCTGGAGGAGAGTTCCAGTCCTTAGCACCCCCTGGTGTGAAGTGTTGTGGGCTGGGTGGGCCTCCCAGGGGCTGCTTCCAGCCAAGTCTCCATATGCTTTGTGGGTGGATGTAGAAGCCCAAGCGAGGCTTGGCAAGAGATCCACAGAGAGAAATGTCACAACCCAAACAATAACTGCATACCCGGACTATTAGTGGGAACTACAGTACCTGATAAAATCCCCAGAAATGGCTAGATGAGGTGCTTTGGACTTTATTTGACAACTTGGCATGATATCTGTTAGACATTTTAAAAGCCGATGAGCAACTCAAATTTTTAGGGTTAGATTCTGAGGTCGGTCCTTCCGTGACTGGATTGGAATGAAGACTTCTGGTTGTTTGACCTCTTGAGCATTCGTGCCTTCTGGCTGTAGCAGCCTGTTTCCTTCCAGTGAATTCCATGTCCAAGGTCAGGTGCCTTGGCTGTGTGAAGCAAGCATTCCCACTGACCGCGTGAGGGCATGTGACTCCATCTGGGCCAACCAGACTTTGGACTTCCTGCTGGACTTTGCTGCATACAGTGAGGCTAGAACAAGAGAAACGTGGCTGATATTGACTCATTTTAGAGGCACGCTGACAAACATCCTGACAAGCATCTGATCAGTTCCTGCCCGGTGGAGTGGCAAGCTCATATCGCTAGAAACTAGCAGGCCTGAACTTGACCCCTGGCTTCTGCAGCAGAGGAGACAGCAATGGTAACCACAAGAGCCCCTACCCAACTCCTCAGGGCTTGCGTCTGTCCAGCCTCCCCTGCGCAGGACCACACAGGCCAGCTGCATGCCCAGCCCCTCCACCATCCCAACTTCCTCAGGCACTGCTTGGCCTGTCCCATTTCTCCCTCACTCCAGAGCCAGCCAGCTAGTGTCTCACCTGACTAAACTCTTTTTTACTCTTCCTCCAGAGTACCCGTCTCAGATTAGGTAATGGAAACATTTAATTCAAAGTAGTTGGGTTGGTTTCTGCCTGGTCTTTGACTTCTACTCCTGAGTGCTCTGGGCACCTGAGTGGTTGGTGAATGGGTGGGTCTAAGGGGAAAAGATGAAGGATTAGTCATTGGGAGAGAAGGTAGAGGTGCCAAGGAATGAAATGAACATCTGAATGTGGGTCTGAGGGCATAGGAATTCTGTGATTTGAGGGTTCTAGAAAGATCTAATCCACTTAGCACAAATGTTGCTACCAATCTGGGTTAAAATTGGATCTTTCAATCCATTGTAAAAATGAAAATGCTTCGTTTATGAACTCACTAAAATTCAGATGCTGTCATTTCTATTTATTTTCAGCAAAGAAGGAGAGGAAGAGACACAGTTTTGGGCTTTTAAGAAAAAGAAAACCAGAAAATCTGGATTTGAAACCCAACTCCCCACTAACTACTGAGTGTGATAGTATATTATTTGATCTTCCCAGATATCGATTTTCTTGCTCATAATAGAGACATGACAGTTATCTGTGTTCTTTATCTTGTGGGACAGTGAGGTAATCTAAGAGCTTTGAGTAGCTGGAAAGGATAGGTCAAAGCTGCTGCTTTTCTACTGAGATAAGGCACGCATTCTGCTTTCCTGGTAGAAGCAGGTGCATGGTCAGTCCTTCTCTGCCTTGTCCTGGGTCTTGTGTCTGGTGTGGAGAAAGGTGGACAAAGAGGCTTTTCTGGGCAGGATTCTTAGGCTGAGAAGAGCTTGGGCCTGTCTTCATACTGGAAGCCTGCAATGGATCTCCAAGCTCAGACATAGAAACTGCTATGTGTGTGTATCTCTTGTGTTCTGTCCATTTGTTTGGTTGTTTCAGCAAAATACTATCAACAAGATAGCTTATAAAAAACAGGAACTCCTCACATTTTTAGAGGCTGAGAAGTCCAAGGCCAAGGTTTGGTGTCTGGTGAGGGCCCATTTCCTTGTTCTCAGATGTGTCTTCACATGGTGGGAAGAGTTAACTAGCTCTTTGGGCCCTCTCTTAGCAGGGCACTAACCCCATTCATAGGGGCTCTACCTCTTGGCCTAATCGCCAGTGGAGGAATCACTTCTAATCCCATCACATTTCAACACAGGAACCTGGGGGTACAGGAGCATTCGATGCATTGTACTCTGAACTCTCATTGTATTCACTTTCCCAGCACAAGCCTTCCTAAACTGGAAGGCCCAAGAGGGGATTATCTGCAAAGTTGAGGTTTGAATTCACCTTGGACCTCACCGACCTGGGTCATCTGTCTGTCCAGAGAGGAAGCATCTGTCCAAGGTGGAGATGGAGCGCTACCAGTAGGTCTGGGAGGGCTCAGCTAGAACCAGGGCCTGCAGCAGAACTGAGTTGGGTCTTGAGGCAATGGGAGGAGGCAGGCTGGCTGGTGCAGCTGGAAGGGGTGAGTGAGGGGAGTGGGCTGGAGACCAGAGGGACCTGGAGAGCGTGTGAGGCCAAGCAATGAAGTGAGGGCTTCAGTGCCCTTGAGCAATGACCAGGTCTCGATTTACTCCTGTGAAAGTCTCTTAGGTTCTGTCTGGAGAATGAATGGAAGGGGTGAATGGAAGCAGCAATGGAATGGTGTCAGCTGCCCTGAAAAGGAAGCTAGAATGAAGGGGAGGGAAGGGGAGTGTCCATGGTCCCTGCTGCTCCCCTGGACTCTCAAGGCAACCCCTATACTCACTTCCCTGTCTTCGAAGCCCTCACCTGTGTCTCTTTAGAAATGCAGCGCTGAGCTCTGATGGGTGCTTGAGGTTTGCCTGTGCATTGTAGTTATTGCCTAGAGGAGAAAGATTAGCAGTCTCCAAAGCATGGGTTTCTTCCAAAAGTGAAAATGTGGTGGTAGAAAAGTAGTAGGTAAAAAGGTAAAGTAATGCAGCCTCGGGGAAGAGCTGCTCATCTTCCGGAAGACCCCGTATCCAAAAAGGCCGGAAAGGATGTCCGGTTGGCTTTGGAAGTCTGCTTGATTTCAGGTCAGCCCCAAGAAGTCCTTCTTCTTAGTGGACTCTGGACTGCTTCTGATGGAAGCTGCTTCCGCTGGCTGGGCTTCCTGCACCTAGGAGCTCTCAAATAAACTTATATCCTGGACCTCCAGTGAACTATCCTCCCTTGCTCCTTTTTCCTCCCCGCTCCTTCCCAATAAACAAGCAAAAACTTCACTTCTCCATAGAAACATAACAAGAACCAAAAGAAAAATGTGCATGATTTCTTTAGCTTGGTGATTCAGGTTTGGCATATTTATATAATCTGAATTATTTTAAAATGTTTGGGTCTTATGTGTGCCTTTAGTCTTGTCACAGCAAACTTCAAAATGCACCTTTTATTCTAAGAAATGAATATGATGCTTGGTACGGTTTTTTTGGTTATACTCATACTCTTTATATGATAATTTCTGTGTAGCTTTTTGTTTAATTTTTGAGTAAGTAATACATTAAATGGCTCATAATTCAAAATACGAACAGGATATTATGAAAGTTTTTTCTCTTCCTTCTGCGCTCTATTTCTATTTGCCACCATCTTTTCTGTCCTCTGAAATCCTGTTTTCAGTTTATCAGATATCCTTTTGGCATGTCTGAATGCATATCAAACAAAATACAAATACAGATGCTTATTCCCTCTTTCTTGCACAGAGCTCGGCCCTCGTTCTTTCCATTTTCACATTCCCTGTCTCCAGTTATTGGCGTATCTTGGAAATCTTTCCATATTAGTAGACAAAGTACTTCCTTATTGTTTTTCAGACTGAAGTATGATTTATGGATAGATTTAGTGTGTACATCTTGATGAGTTTAAAGAGAAGAAGATAAAAAACTTTCACCATAACAATGTCATAAATTTAAAGCCCTTCTAAAACCATCTCCCCCATAAGAACTTTGAACCTCAGCTCTATCTCTTCAGTTTTTAATTATACAGCAGTGTTGTGAACTGCTGGCACAGTGCTGCACAACAGATCGCTAGCACTTTCAACGCTGGAACTTTGTACCCTTGGACCAGTGCCTGTCTGTTCTTCCTTCTCCCTGCTCCCCAGTCACTTCCTCATTCAGTGTTTTCATTTTATTTAGTCGTATATGTGTGTGTATATCAAAATTCCTTTAGAGAGTATTTTATAAAGTATCCCATGGTGGGGACCCTCCTTTGCCCCACCCCTGGTTTTCTCCGATGGTATGAGTATGCCTATTTTCCCTGTTTGCAAGTGTGCAGCCTCATCCACGTGACATTCTGTTTATAAATCAGTTGCAAATGCAAAAGAGGAACTGCCCGGTCAAAGAACTTAGCTTAATTTTGATAGATGCTTCCAGATCGCCTCCCAGAAGGGCCTGTGCCAATTCGCACTCCCGCAGAGGGTGTGAGAAACTCCACTTTCACCACCAACTTGTCCCTGGGAGTGTGGGATGCTCTCATTGGCATTTTGCCAACTTCACAGGTGAAAATTGGTGTTCATAGTTTTAATTTGCAGTTCTCTGAGTGAGTTTGATATTTTTTCATACATTCAAGACCTATTTGTATTACTTTTTGAGTTATTTGTTCATTTCCTCCTTGTTGGGTGCTTATTGATCTTTTTGAAGCTCTTTATACATGAAGTAGAGTGGCCCTCTGTCTGTGACAGGAGCTGCCGGCCCTATTCCTCACAGTTTGTGCCATGTCTTTCGGCTTTGCCTGTGCCATACTTTGTCATGGCTTTTAAATTTCAAATCCATTTGGAATCATGGCAGACGTGGAGAAAAGTTGCAGGTGGTACCCAGATTTCCCTTCTGGCCTTTTCCCGCCTTCCCGAATATGCTTCACTATCTTCGTACAAGGTCTGCAGTCAGAAACCTGGCGTTGCCTCCTGCTGTTAGCCAACATGTGGACTCCACTTGACTTTCAGTCGTTTGTCACCGGAAGTTCTTTTTCTATTTCAGGACCCAGTCTAGGATCCAGTTTGTCTGTGACACTTCCTCAGTCTCTTGTCATTCAGGACCTTGACAGTTCTTAAGTAATGGTTAGACATTTGGTAGAAAGTCCCTGGATTTTCAAGTTCTTCTTTTTTTTGGATTAGATTAGATCAGTATTTCTGGATTCTAGGGAAAAAGAAAGCAAAAGTATGCTTTTCTTGATATAGTGTATTGGGCATATTAGCTTTGATTAGGCAATTAAGATAATGTCCTCCTGGTTCCTCCACTGTGAAGTTTCTGTTTTTCCCAGTGCAGAGTGAAAGTGCAGGGCCTCTTTCTCAAAATAGATAAGGAATTTCTGGGCTGGGAATTTAGCTCAGTGGCATAAGTGCCTGCCTGGCAAGCGTGAGGTTATGAATTCAATCCCTGGTACCAAAACCAAACCAAAACAAGCAAAAAACATATTAGGGATTTCATTTTATTTTATTTTTTTGTATGTATGTGTGCCGGGAATCAAACTCACAACCTCACACCTTACAGGTAAGCATTGTGCCACTGAGCTATGTACTCAGCCCTAATATTAGGGATTTCATAACAGTGATAACCAAGCAAGAAACCAAGTGTAGAGTTTAATGGTTATGGTGCGGTTGTAACAATGGGTATGGTGGGGTTGTAACAACGGTTTCTCTATTTCCCTTATCACTTCTACATTTATGAGGAAGAAGCCTTCTGTATCCCTTCTTCCCTACCTATTTATTATTTATTTATGTCAACTTGAATTTGTGTGTTTGTTTTACAAATTGAGTTGAAGGTAATACTATTGTCTCTTTTTTGCTCATAAACTGCTTCAGTTTTTAGTACTGGGATCTATTTTAGATCAGCCCTGAGTTCTTTTAATACACTCCCATCTTTTCAAGCATTTTCTTAATACTTTATTACTTTTTGGTGGTACAAGATGCTCTGGGCTGTTCTGCATTTTCTTTTTCTTTTTTTTTTTTTTTTTTTTGTCTTTTTCCTTTTTATCGGTACCGGGGATCGAACTCACGACTCCCTGCTTGCAAGGCAGGTGCTTATGCTGCTGAGCTAAATCCCCAGCCCCATTTTATTTTTCTTAATTCTGGAATTAACCACTTACTTCTTCAAGGACTGGTATTGGGAAAGCCTGATGTGAGTGCTGGGGGTGCTCATCACTACTGAGGTGTTGAGCTTCGAAGCCTTCCAAGAGTGTAGAGGTGGGAATGCTAACCAGGCCACACACATGCTTGTTCTGTTCGTGTATAAATCTATATGGCTGAATTCCTACTGACAGGTCCAATGCCAGTCCAGTGCCACAGGATTCATTCTAGCCTTTCTCTTCTGCCTATTTATATTCATTGCCTTTTAGAAATCTTATTAAGAAAAATTTCAAAGATGCAAAAATATGGATTCACTGCTTCAACAATGATTAACATTTTTATGTGTGTTTTTGAGACAAGGTCTTGCAGTGCAGTTTAAGCTGGTCTTGAGCTTACTTTGTAACCCAGGTTGGTTTTGAACTCACAACAATCCTTCTGCTTCAGCCTTTTGAATGCAGGTATTACAGACGTGCACCACCATGCCTGGCTATGATTTTCTCAATATTATTCTATCCATCTGTTACCTAGAGGTGTTTCTTTTTTGGAGTAAACCCCAGAAAAGTTTTGAATGTTGTTGCTTCTTGCAAATTAATAAACTTTATTTTGAAAGCAGTTGCAAGATCACAGAAAAGTTGAATGGGGGTTATGGAGAGTTCCTATAAATCCTTGTCTCCATTCATGCACAGCCTCCATCACTATCGAAATCCTCCACCACCTTGTCCTGTGAGACTGTAGATAGATACACACACCTGCCACACTTGTTACAGTTGATGAACCTACACGTGAACAAGATTATTATCCACATGGTTCACATCAGAACTCATTTTTGGTATATCTTCCATGGGTGTGGGCAAATACTGTATTTAATGACATACATCCACCATTATAATCTCATATGGGGTTAGATTTTTTGTACTTCACTTGTTTATCCTCCTTCTCCTCTCACTCTTGGCAATCACTGGTCTTTTCACTGTCTCCATGGTTTTGCCTTTTCCAGAATGTCACATAGTTAGAACCATACAAATTGGCTTCTTGCTCTTGGTGAATGGCATTTAAAATTTCTCCCTGTTTTTTCATGGCTTGATAGCTCCCATCACCTGGGGTACCAGTTAATCGACATGATCACTAGCTATAGACTCCTACTCGCTTCCAAATTTTGTCAGTTACAAATAAAGCTGCCAGAAACATCTGCGGGTAGCTTTTGTATGGACATAGGATTTTAATTCATTTGAATAATTTTGAAAGAGTGTTGCTACTGGATCATGTATGGTAAGAGTAGCTCTTTTTTGTAAGGAACTGCCAGTCTGTTTTCCAGACCCACCAGACCTGTTTTACAGTCCCACCAGGAGGGAATGAATTCCAGATGCTCCACATCCTTGTCAACATTTGGTGCTGTCAGCACTTTAGATTTGGCCATTCTAGTAGGTGTGACCTGGTGTCTATGACCAGGGAATTTGCAGTTCCCTGATGCAATATGTTGTTGAACATCTATTCATAAGCTTATTTGCTGTCAGTGTGTCCTCAGAGGTCAGTGGTGTTAAATTGAGTTTTTCATTTTCTTACAGTTCAGTGTTGAGAGTTATTTGCATGTTTTGGATATAACGATCTTTTGGATAACAGTTCTTTATCAATGGTGTCTCTTGCAGGTACGTTCTGCCAGTCTGTGGCTTGTCTTGTCATTTTCTTGATATTATCTTTCATACCACTGCTTTTTTTTCTAATAAGATTCTATTGGTACACTTTAGCTAAACATAATGATTACCATCATCATAGAAAATTTGTACATGGTACAACTTGATTTGTTCTTCCCCATTCCTCTACCCTCCCTTTATCCTTTCTCCCCTCCCTATTTACAAAGCTTTGTTTCCATTCTTTCCTTTCTTTTTTTTTTTTACTTTTCCTTTCCTTCCTACCTCCTGCCCGCTCTCTTGTTCCTTTCCCCATTTGAACATTTTCTTCCTGTTTCACAATATCTATTACACATTTTGGTCTTTATATTTTCAGTTTCGCACGCCATACCATTGCTTTTTAATTCATAATTTTAAAATGTTATAGAAGTACTTCCAGCTTTTTTTTTAGCTTAAAAAAATAAAAGTTTATTCTCTCACAGCTCTCAGGTCCAGAAGTCCAAAATCCAGGCATCAGTAGGATCGGTTCCTTTGGAAACACCAATCAAGCATCCTCCCTGTGAGTCTTTCCCAGGTTCCTAATATGGGGGCATTCCCATGTCTTCCTTATCTTCGAGTAGGTCTTTCAGTCTGTGTCTTCTTTCCTTCTGTATCTGCTTTCTTCACCTTCTCACATCTTGAATCGTTCACTAAACATTTTATAAGCACCTTCCATCTGCCAGTCACTGTTCAGCATAGCTTTGAACAACACAAATAAAGTCCATGTCCCTGTGTCTGCCCAAAGGGTCACATCTACTGAATATGCATTTACTTAGAAAGCAACACATATTGCTTTGTGTGGGCTGGGGGTCTGAGACTGCACCTGCTCCTTCGTCTTGACATTTTCCTGTGCTGCTGAGTCCTGGGTGCTTCCTGCGCTGGCTGCCTGTCATGTGGTGCGTGGGATTGGACACCTGGGTCCTCTGATCCAAGGTCCCAGGATGGCGGAGAGGTGCAGGACAGTTGCTCACTGATGCTCCCCTGATGGCAGCAGGGCCTCCAGGTATGGCCTCCTTTCCTCTGGGCCTCAGAGATGGGCTTACCAGGGGGCATGACTTCTTCTCCTCCTGGCCTGCAGTGGGCTCACTTTGAGGGAGCACCTATCCTTGGTGGCAGCGGGATCCGGGAGCCTTGAGTTCTTCATATATTCTAGATCAGTGGTGGCAAACCTATGGCATGCATGCCACAGCAGACTGCTTGCTATCATTCAAATCTCTGAAAGATTTGCATTATTGTTGTAGATATTAGTCCTTCATCTGAGGAGTAGCTGGCCACTTTTTCCCATTCTGTAGTTTGTCTTTGCACTTGGACGGTGGTTTCAGTGTAGCATTTCTCCAGCCCACCATCATCCCCACCCACGCATTGGCATCCTGTGTTTGTGTAACCCAGGGACTACAGGCTTATTGCATAAGTCATCTTCCCCATGCTCTGACAAAACCTGAGGCACTCAATTTGTAAAGAGAAAAAGTTCATTTTCATTCACAGTTTGGGAGGTTTCAGTCCGTGGTTGTTTGGCCCATGGTGAAGCTGTACTATGGGGAATGCATGGCTGAGCAAAGCCTTTCATTTCATGGCCAGGCCTTGAAAGAAAGAAGAGAAAAGGATTGAGATCCCAGTATTCCCTTCAACATACATCCTTGCTGATCAGAAGATTCCTCTGGCCCCACCTCCTAAGAATTCTACCATATTCCAGTAGCACCACAGGCCTGTAACATACAGGGATTGGAGAACACTTAGCACTTACCTAGCTCCCATGCCTTCCAGAGATCTGAAGGTGAATCCCTGACATTCACCCTAGCTCCCTGGTGACTATGTCCTCACGCTATCTCCTGCTTCGCTTCTGATCCCCCTGGAACTTTTCCATTCTCTTCCATTCCTTGCATCTAAATAGAAAATGTCAGCTCTTTAGGCTTCTTCAGAGGGAAGTGCTCAACAAGCCCATTATTCAAGGGAGGCACTTCTCCAGATTTGGAGCAAGTAGAGAAATGGGAGGAGACAGGGAGGAGGCGGCCTTGGGATCGAAGGGTGCAGGTGTCCTCTCTCGGGACACTGCTGGCCTTGGTCCCCCCAGCCCCACATTTCTTTGTTATGTTGCTGCTCGTCCTCTTTGTCCCCTTTTTTCCTCTTCCCCCTACCCCTCTCAGAGAAGACTGGCTCTTGCCTTATGTAAGAGGAGCCCAGCCCTATCTTCACACCCTTCCTTACTGCAAGGGGCTTGTCTTGGAAGGTGGCAGGGAACATTCGATGGATCCCCATAGAAGTGGCCTGACTTTTGGGGCATGAAGTTTCTTTGTGTTTTATAATTGTTGCTAATTTTTCTTCTTGGTTTTTTATCGCATCCTGGAAACTGCTTTTCTGACTTTAGGTATGGGAATCAAGGTGAGTCTTAAAGTAGGAGCAATGGAGGAAGGGTAGACAGAGTCACAAGCATGAGAAAGAACAAATTAAAAAAATTTTAAATTAAAAAGTGGTGGAAAAGGTAATATAAACATAAGCTGTACAGTAGGGTGTACAGAGAAAAGCAACTCCTCCCACGCAATCTCAATCCTTTCTTTCTCTTATTTTTTCCTAAGATAGCCACTGTCACCAGCCTCTTACCGATCTTTTAGGAACTAGTTTAAGCCAATATAAGCATAAATGCATATGTATTTTTCCCTGTTTAAAAATAGATGGAAGCCTGTGACACGCATGGCTTTATTTTTGTCTTTTTAAAAAATTAATACAGTATTTTCACTTTTTTTTTTGTCTTTTTGAGACAGGGTTTTGCTATGCAGTTCACGCTGGCCTTGAGCTCACTTTGTAGTACAAGCTGGTTTCAAACTCAATCGATCCTTCTGCCTCAGCCTCCGGAGTGCTGGGATGACTGGCATGAGCTACCACACCCAGCTATTTTCACTATTTTAACTGCGCTTCTTATAATATATGTATTTGCTTTCTTCTTTCTTTTTTTTTTTTTTTTATCTGTACAAAAGGCAGACTTATATCCCGCCTCCCTGGCCACTGGAGAAGGTTTCTGGGCATGAGGTCTTCCAGGAGGAAGAGAGATTCTGGTTGCCAGCGTTTCGTTTCGCATCAGGATACGATGGCAAATGCTAAGCACTGTTTTGGTTGTTCACAGTTCTAGTGGTGGATCATGTTCTCGTTCGCAGTTGTCATCTTCCCACCCTGTAGGAGCACCTGCCCTCTGCTCCCTGCCATGTGACCTGTAGCACCTTCTCATGAGGACCGTGAACTCTCCCAGGTTCCGGGCTCGGCCATGCACTCTCCTTCCTGGCCCCCAGGGAAGAGAGGGCAGTGGCGCATGCCACCTCCACTCCATGCCTGCATGATCAGTGTGGGCTTCTACTTCGTGAATCTGACCTTGATCATGAGCGTGAGATAGTATCTGGGCTGTTCCTTCATCTTGGGGCTCAGAATAAGATGACATGGAATAAAAGTCACATTTGACTCATATCCGATGAGTCATCTGGGTAAAAAATAAATGTTATTGGTTGTAATCCCCTAAAATTCTAGATGGTGTGTCACAGCCGCTTCACCTAATGAAAGCTGAATCCTGGGAAATAGTGCTGGGCTGTGTTTAGTCACAAAATTTCTGGATAGCTCTGAGGAATGGGCTACCTCTGTGTTTAATCTTGATCTACTGTCAGTTGATAAAAACTGGCTGTTATTTACAGCAATCAAGATATGATATCCTTTACTAGTGACTATGTTGATTGCAAAGAAGCTTCGGAAGCTATTTGGCAATGTATAACAAGCCTGAATGTTTTGTACTACTCAGATCTAGCCAACGAATGGAGAGATTGTGTTATTTGAAAAGGTGGAGGGCTTGGTGATACACACCTGTGATCCCAAGACTCAGGAGGCTGAGGCAGGGGCCTATTGCATGTTCCAGGCAGGCATGGGCTACAGAGCGAGTTCAAGGCCAGCCTGAACCACATAGCAAGACTTTAATCTTAAAAAAAAAAAGGAAGAAAAACTGGAAACCACCTAAATGCCCCGTCACAAGGAGATATTTATAAAATATATGATTACACTGGCTTTTTTTTTTTTTTTTTGGTTGCTGGGACAAAATAGCTGAGAATATTTATTTTGGTTCATGATTTTAGATATCCAGTCCATGTTAGGTTGGCTCCATTGCTTCTAGGTCCATGCAAAACATCATAGCTGAAGGGCATGGTGGAGAAAAGAGCTGTCTCATGGCATCCAGGAAGCAGAGGAAGAGAGAGAGAACCAGAGAATAGTTCTACCGTGGAAGTCATGCCCTCAATGACCTACCACCTCCTAATAGCTCATTCGGCTGGCTATGAATTTATCAGTGATTATGCCGCTGATGAGGTTGGCTTCCTCAGTTTGGAGATACCTCTCCAGGCTTCTCTTAATCCAGTCAAGTTAATGATCAAAGTTAACCAGCACAATGATGGCTGTTATGAAGTCAGGAAAATCAGTAATGAGTAAAGACATGGGGGAGATGCTTATATTTTAACACTGGGTGAATTAAACAGACCTATAAATATCCAGCAGTCCAAATTCATATAACAGATCTGCAATCATACAGTTCATAATTTCCAAGCTTTTTTCACTCTTTCCCTTTGTACACACACAGTTGTGTATAAAAAGTAGACCGGGAAGAAATAAGGAAAAAAACCCAAGCTCATCCCTAGTTGGTGTTTTCTGTTCTACATTTTCTAAACTTTCTATGGTGCATGTGTACTACTTTGGTAATCAGAAATAAGTGAGCGCTATTTAAAAACAAGAACCATTTCGGTCACCTCCAGGGCAGTGCCTCGTGCTGTGGTGGCAGAGGGGCCCTAATTGGGACTCCTCATCTAAGAATAAGCCTGTGTGTTTAACTAGGTCACTCTCCTGCCGACCTAGAATCTCTGCACAGGGCTTAGCCTGTGCTCCCAGAACCTCCAGGCGCCGCTGTTCCGGCCCCCGGAGGCTGCTGGGCCGGAGCCGCCTGCGCTTCTGCCTGCCTTCAGCCAAGTGTAAATTTGAGCAGTTTGAGAGCTGTCACCCTGGGGAAGCTACTACCCTCATGCCTCTCTCACAAGTCTTTTTCAAAAACAAATTTAGCCAAGTCTGTGCGATGGAAGAGAAAAACAGGGGCTGGTGAAGTAAGCATTTTAACCATTTGGGGGTACTAACAGTTCATTAATTCTGTGGCTCCTGTTCATGGTTCCAGGTGGCCGTCTGGGTAGGGTATGTCCTGTCACACATGTTCAGGCTCTAGACTGGCTGGTGAGCAGGGGCCGGGAGGGGACGAGTCTCAGAAGTGCGTAAATTCACAGGCTGTGAACCTCCTGGGAGGGGCGCTGCCCCTGGGGAAAGGGGCAGAGGACAGCCAGCTCTGCCCTGCATTGAGGCCTTGAATGCAGGGGACAGTGCTTTTCCAGGTCGCCTCCCTGCAGAGTCTGTTTCCCTTAAGTCTTGGTGCAGGTTAGCCCCAGGAGGGGTGCAGCCTCTGCATGTGTGTGTATGTATGTGTGTGTGTGTGGTGTGTGTGTGTGTGGGTGTGTAGGAGCACATCACATGTGGTGAGCATCTGCAGTGTTGGGATCAGAATTGAGGACAATCAGGGACAAGACAACTGGGACAGCAGCCTCGTAGGAGCCGCCTATGTCAACAATAGTATAGCACCCTCCACTTCCAAAACTACTATTTGGTAGCTGGTCTACAAGCATCTGTGTAAACTCCGTCCTGAGCTCTGTCTGTGGAGTACAGCACCCCTCCCATCGTCTTCAGCCAGATCTGCCTTAGTTACAGTCACCTTCTTCTTCTTCTTCTTCTTCTTTTTTTTTTTTTTTTTTTGTCTTTTTCATTTTTATCGGTACCGGGGATCAAATTCACGACCGCCTGCTTGCAAGGCAGGTGCTTGTCCCGCTGAGCTAAATCCCCAGCCCCTACAGTCACCTTCTATCTTTCCATCCCCTAGACGGTTTCATACATGAACCTTTAAACTCCATGGTCTCTAATTCTTTCTAGCTGAGGTATGATACATACAAAGTGTGAGATACTGTGAATTGGACCTGGGGCCCTCACACCAAGCTTCACCCTCAGCTTCCTTTCATATATAATATATGGTATGGCAAGCTGGGCTCAAACTTTCGGTCCTCCTGCCTCAGCCTCCCAGGGAGCTGGGATTACAGGTGTACCCCCTGATGCCTGGATGAATGCATTTGTTCTTGTGCCCAGTATATAGTTCATTTCTCTTCACAGATGATTCCAACACTTTATCCATTTTGGTGCTAGTGAACAATTGAGTTGTTTCCAGTGGGGATGATGTTAAACAAAGACGCCATGCATTCTTACATGCAGATTGGCTGGACGTATGCTGTCTCTTTTAACCCACTGTCCTTCCTTCAGGGTCTTGGCCACTCCCTGAGAATGGCCCCTGGGGACAGACCACACACCTGCCACGCTTCCTGCTCATGGGTTCGGCCACTGCCTGGTCTCCTCTCTTTCTTGGCCATGATTGCTGCAGCAGGGCCTTTCCCTGCCCTCCACTGCTGCCTACCCCACATCACCACTGACCTCAGCGGTCCAGGCCTCCTGTGCCTCTACCTGCTGCCAAATGCAGGGGTGCTCGGCCCTTCTGCAGCACTCCTGCCTCCTCCTGGGCTTGCCTGCTCCCATGCTGCCTCTTGCATTCACTACCTGCTTATGCCTGGGGCTGTGTCCTCAGCTCTGGTCCCCTGCTTGTCTGTCCCCAGGGGCCCTCTTGCTGCTGGGAACTTGGCTACCCTTGATGCTAATGCAGCTTCCTTATCCTCAGTCTCTAGATCCTCAGTCAGAGGATACGCTAGGCCCATTCGGTGGTGAACTTTGATTCACCTTGATGTGAGGTTCTTTTTATGTGTTTCTGTGCCCGCCTCATGTGAGAGGATATTCATCTGTTGACTGCACCAATGCCCGTGTGTTTCATTCCCCTGCCCCGACTAAGGGTGTGATCACGCATATATACAGTAAATTGTGTTACTTCTTACATTTAGAAAATATGGAGTTCTGAAATATATCTGTCCCCAGAGTTTCAGAGAGGCCACCACAGACTGGCAACTCCCGCATCTGCGTGAGCCCAGGCCTCCCCAGCGCATGATGGCACCGCTTCCTGGCAGCATCTCTGGATCTGTGGCCCCATTCCGGCCTGTCCTCTCTGGGATCCGGTGTGGCTGGGTGGCTCAGGCCTGCCCACTCTTCCTCACTTCCCTGTGCGTGGGGCCTTTGCTGACCTGGCCTAGCTTCCCTCCTCTACCTCCCTCACACCCCCAGGACCAGCTGTGGGCTGCTTCCTTCCCCTTCCCCTTTCAAGCCTGGGGTTGCTGTGCTGAGAATTCTTCACACAGTCCGGTCCTCGCTTCCTGTTCATTTCTCAAGAGGGTGGGCAAAGTTGTCTCCTGCACCTGGAGGCACCCCCAACAAACAGTGCACTCCCAGCTGCCTCTGGCTGGCTCTTCAGCCCCGGTGAGCAGTGCTTGCTGGCTCATGACACAGTCGCTGGGTGAGAACCCAGAATGAGTGTCTGCCCCTTCTTCAAAGCTGCAGGTCCCCACGGACTCCAGCCCCAGCTTAGGGGCACTGGGAGCTGGCCTATAAGGTGAGCGTACTGCCAGAGCCAAGGTCTCATCCCTTAATGCTGGCCACTAGGCTCCAACAAGACCTCGTGAAATGCAAAAGTTTTTCCTTTATTTGAAAAGTGAGCAAATATCAATGTATTTATGAGCCTGTACTCTGCTACTTTCATTTGGCATAGACATCTCTTGTAATATCTGTCATTTTATACCACTCAGTTTTCATTACTGAACCACATATCAGAAAATGTTGATACTCCAGAAAAGAAAGCAAGCCTCACCTTACTGCCTGCCTATGATAGCTATTTGCAGTTTTAAAAATTCTCTTTGTGTATGCATTTTGTACATAGTTTGCATGTTTGTGGGAATAGAATTTTGTGTTCTGCCACCACCCATATCTTTTGTTTGTTTTTTTAAGATAGGGTCTTGCTATGTAGTTCAAACTGGTTTTGAACTCACAAGGCTGCCCAGGCTGGCTTCAAACTGACGGCAATCTCCTGCCTTACTCTCCTGAGTGCTAGGATTACAGGTGTGCGCCACCACGCCAAGCTTATGATAGTTTAAGCATCATATATCTGCATGTATAATAGTTTAAAAATTACAGATTCCCTTTTCTTTAGTTGAGCATTGATTTGACCTGGTTTTGCATGATCAGTCTTGTTGCGTTTAGCCTGTTTTGTGGTTCTAGAGGCTGCACTTGTGACCCCTTGCAGGGCCTGCTGCAGACCCCTGTGCCTACCAGAAATTAGCAGCCACGCCACGCACGGCCTCCTGGTGGCACTGGGCTGGAAGCCTTCTTTTCACCAACCTGCTTGAGCACTTGTCTGTCTCATTTCTTCTACTGGGCTTCTTTAAGAGCCAGGAACGCGTTTCACTCACAGGCCAGGCGTGAGGTAGATGCTTCGTAACTGCATACTGTCTCCTCACAAGGACTTGGGTGTAGGAGGCAGCTGACCCTCGCAAGGTCTCTGACTCCTGCAAAAGCTTCTGTTTGCCCCAGCACCTGGCCAGAACCCCTGCCTCTCAAGGTTACAGTGGGAGGGGTGAGGATAGGGTCTTGGTTGGGGAGGCCCCCCAGCTTTGGCATTCAAGGCCTTTCCTGACTCAGCCTCCGTGGAGCTGGGCAAGAAGTCTTGGTACCAGCCAGGCCAGGTGTGGGGCTTTCCTGCAGCTCCCTGTCCTTGCCCTCTTGGCTGGTGAGTCTTCACCCCAGGCCTGACCTCCTTCTCAAGGACAGGCCACAGCTGTCTCCTGAGCTCCTGCTGCCTCCTCGGCTGTACCCGAGTCTTCCCAGGGGTTTCCTGGCCTGTCAGACCTGCAGAGTTGCTGAGCGGGTGGCTCCGTGGGTTTTCCAGTAAACAGGAACGGGCTCATTTTTACCTAAAAGGGGGACCCCAAGAGCCTTGCAGGATGGCCCCTGACTTCCCCTGTCCCCAGCCTGTGCTCTCATAGGATGTCAGGATGGCTGTGTGGGTGGCCTCCCTGCCTGTTTCCTTCCCCCCTCCCCGAGCTGCGGCCACCCTGGGGCTCCAGCCTGAGTCCTGAGGTCAGTGCCTGGCACACCCACTGCTGGTCCTGGGCCAGTACAACTCTCACACACCTACCCCCACCACATCCACGTCACACTCACACTCACACACGAACTCCAGGGGCTCCCGGTGTTTTGCTAGAAGGAACCACAAGTTCTTGGGAGTTTTTTGCTTCTCACTCGAAATCTCCCTGTCCCTGACTCCCAGCCAAAGAGGAGGGTGGTATTTGCCCTAGGTGGGGTAGAATTGTTTCTGGGATAAAGTGCTGCACGGCCTTGACTCTGTTCCAGGCTCTCCCCAGTACACCGAGCACTATCTCTGGTCATAGTCCAGTCGCACAAGCCGTTGGCCATCTGGCCACACTAGCAGGGAGGAGGGGGCTGGGACCAGCACCGTGGCAGGCTCTGAGGACCCAGCCATCACCCCAGAGGCAGATCCCATCCCCATGATCCACTTGCTTCCTGCTTCTCAGCACTGGCTTATGGCTGGCCCTGAGAAATTCCTTTTCCTTCTAAAGGGATGAAAATCGTCTCTTTCCTTAAAGACCTTATCCCTGACTGTCTTATCAAAAAGACTTCCCAGGGCATGCGGTTAGCTCCCACCTCCCTCTCCCTGTAGTAAGGGTGCCTGCCTGTGTGAGGAAGCCCAGGATGGTTCTGGGGGAATGCCTCTGCTTCCCCTAAGAGGGTTTCTCCAAGCTCCAGGAGACAGAAGCCTCCTCCATCCCCACGGCGTGGCCCCCGATACTAAAGCCTCTGGGGTGACACATGTGGGTTACAGCTAGGCCCAGAGCTTCCCGCTGCCCCATAGCTGCCCCTGATCTGGTAACCTGCACGCAGGCAGCCAGGGGACAGAAAGCTGCCACAAAAACACTTCTTAAACAGATACTGTTTAGAAGGAAAGGAGTTCGAGGACAGTGACTGGGAATATGGCTGTCCCCAGAGAACACAGATGCTCTAATTCTAAGAGTTTCAAATTGGGCTGGGTATGATGGTGCATACCATAATCCTCATCCCAGCACTGGGAAGGCCGAGGCACGAACATTGCCTCAGGTTAAAGGCCAGCCTGAAGACCCTATCTCTGAAAAAAAAAAAGAAAGAAAACAAAAGAATTTCAGAAGTGCAATAATCTCAAGTTTATGTGAAGTTATAAAATAAAAAATTATACACAGGAATTTCTTACATGCTTTACCAAGATTTACCCATTGTTAATGTTTGGTTCCATTGTTTTACCACTGTTCCCTGAGCCTGTATATACACACATGGTCATTTTTCCTGAGCCATTTGATGGGAGGTGATATGCATAAAGACTTCTACCCTAAACCCTTCAGTGAATATTTCTCAGGAGAAAGGATATTTTCTTACATTACCACCATGTGATCATCCAGTTTATAGGCTTGGACTGGCATGTGGTAATTTCATCTAACCGACCACCTGTTTTCCATTTGTCCTGATAGATCCACTAATATCCTTAGCATCCTGTGGCCTGCAGCAGGATTCAGTGGAGGCCTGGAGATCATGCTCATTTGTCAATGCTCTTCAGCCCCCTAAATCTGGAATGACTCCCCAGGGCGAATACACCTGCCTGGCTGTCTGGGCTCGGTTCTACTCTACCAGGCATTAGCTCTGTGAGAACAGTCAAGTGCTTACTCTTCTGTGCCTCGTGTAATAATCTGTACACTCAGAATAACAACGGACCTATTTTGTGGGGGTGTTAGAGGCTTGGCTCACAGGAAAAGGAAGGCAATGCATTCCCTGTGTTATGACAGATCTGTGTGGCTAGGGTTCAGGCCTAGCGAGACCCCAGGACATCTCAGATCCTTCCCCCAGTTAGTCTAGGGGCTCAGAGGCCTCCACATGAGGTGGAAACCACAGATCTGGTGGGGCCATGGCTGCTGCTACAGACAGCAGCCAGCCGATGGCCAGCCATGCCAGCTGGGCAGAGCAGGTGCAAGTGTGGCAGGGCACAAACCCTATGCTGTGTCCAGTCAGCCCTCGGGGAGGGCTGGGGCTGCATCTGTGAGGTGACAGGGTGTACTGAGTGTCACAGATGGCTTCCTTCCCTTAAGTGTGAAGTGAATTCCAGATAGACCCCAGGCTTTGCTGTAGGGAAAGCAAAATACACATTTCTACAGCTGCAGTGCGGCTTCTGTGGGAGGGCCGAGGAACTTCTGCAGGGCCCTGTAACCAGACACTCTTCCTCCTTCTGTTTTCTGACCTAAAAGGGAACTACACAGTGTGGGAAACCCTCATAAAGGGTTATGAGATGGGAAAACAGGTGGAAGGGACTCCTGAAATCTTCTGGAAACCCATCAATTAAGGCTGTTATGTAAAGCATGCCATCTGTCCATCTGTCCATTCATTGATCCACGCATTCAACTCTGTCCATGCATGCATCCCTCCACATATCCACCCATCCACCCAACCATCCATCCATCCATCCATCCACCCATCCATCGATCCATCCATCCATCCAGCCAGCCAGCCAGCCATTCCTCCCTCCCTTCATGCATGCCTCTGTCCATGTATACTTCCAAGAAGGGATGTGGTATCACCTGGGACCTTCACTCCTCTGCCTCACCATCCAGGGCTCATCTGACATTGTCAAGGAAGCAGCTATCTCACAGACATGCTTTCCCCTCATAACTTTCAGCCCTTTAAAAGTGCTTACCTTCACTTAGGTTAGTATTTGGGAGAGAAAGATGGCTAAAATGAATCATAAACCTGTCCTCCTCAGAAGAAACCATGCCCTTCACCCAGGTGTTTCTGGGTGAGCCCGGTCACTCCTCTGCATAGAGGTCACCTCTCTGTGGTGAAGATGGTGGTGTGAATCCACAAGGCCAATCCACAAGTGTGCATGATGTGGCCTCAGTTGCTCTGCTTTTTCATAACTCATTTTGCAGCTGTTTTCCTTGGTGGTGAGACGCCCATCACTTGCCACTTCCTACAAGTCTTGGCATGTTTCTTTCGATTTCATCTTTAAATGGTCTTAAGCTGGGGAATTTGCTAACCAAATGTGTTAGGATTTGTGTAAAGCAAGAGTCCTTTATATATTTATCAAAGACTTTTAATCCTTAAAGCCTTTGTGACTCCTATGTTTGCCTTATTTATAAAATGCTTCAACTCCCCAGGCAATTGAGGTCCTCGGCTGCTGCGTCTGCATAGGTCATAGGTTGTAGGTCATAGGTCATAGATGTGGTGGGGTGTGGGTGAACTGCTCCTCCTTTATCCTTACAGAGTTCTCTTGCCCTGGTTGACTGCTCCCCCATAGGGAGGGGAAGGAGAGAGGGAGAGGGTTGGGGCTGGCAGTGTCAGAGGGGTTGGAAGTTTCTAAGGGAGACAGTGTGACCAGGGCCCTGCTGATAGTGTGCAGATGGCTGGGGAAGGGGCCACAGCCTCTCCTTCACCCTTGGTGGTGATGACCAGCATGGATAGGCCAGGGATTCCCAGCCCGGAGCCCAGCAGGGGGTCTGAGGCCCTGGGGTCTCAAGGACTGACAAGGGACTGTGGCTAGAGGTGTGAGGGGATTTTGAGAAGGTGCCAGGGAGCTCAATCTGCAAGTACTCAGCACAACCTGGCAGCACACGGGCGCCTTTCAGCACACAGGTGGAAGGACCCTGAAACGGCTGGTGCTGGGCTATATGGGACAGCTTTCTACAGGTAGTAGCGGCTGGTCAAGGTGAAAAAACCGACAATGGGACATTCCAGAGGTTGTCCCTTCCCTTCTGTCTCTCCCACAAAGATCTCTTCCCTTTGTCCCTCTCTAATCCAGGTGACCTCACAGTGAACTCACTTCAGAAAGCGACAGCCCCAGCCCCCACTGACAGCTGCACATTTCCATGAGGTGCGACAATGACCTGCCTGCCCTCCGCACACACTTGGACACATACACTGTTCTGTGCTTGGACCCAGAAGAGGCCCTGGCTCCCCCTCATTCCCCCATCACTGCTGCAGCTGTAGGGTACAAGGTCCCCGCTGCAGGACTTGGGAGAAATACGTGGGGAAGGAAGGATGTGAGGTGTCGCAGATCCCAGCCAGCAGAGCTGTCACCCTGGCATTGCAGGGCCTTCCTCTGCAGCCACTTACTCTGAGAGGTGGCTGGGGGTGGCTCCTAGGCTGAAACCTAAGAAAAGGTTCAGAGCAGAGCTGGGGGCCCCAAGAGTCCCTCCACGTGTGCCCCAGGCATGAATCCCCATTCTGTGGGGCAAGACAAAGGAGGCTGGGCAGGTGTTTTTGGCCACCAGCAGCAGCTCCACTATACCACTGTGTGGAGGGAACCCCAGGGCACTGCAGGAAATGAAGAAGGGGGCGGAGAGGTGCAGAGACCTTCCCACCCCCACCTCATGGCTGGCAGAGTGGGCTCTGACTGTCAAGGCCTTTCCTGCCTTGCTCTGCTCCCACGTGCCTTGCTCTGGATCCCTGGGAGAGGGGTCTGAGGTGTGGGCAGGGGTCTGGGGCGTGGGCAGAGGCCTGGCCTCAGCTCAGTGCCTTGAACCCTGTCCTGTCCCTGCCAGGCCATCAGGATGTACCTGTTTGCTGACAGTGAGGCAAGTGTTTGGGGTGGGCCAGGATGGGCTGCCCAAGGCCAGAGAGGGCCAGGACCCTCCCATGTCCACCCTGCCCCCAGCCATGACCAAGCCTATGAGTGGTCATTTCCCTAGTGGGCAGGGGAGAGGCACTTGCAGGCAGGTAGATGGTGGGGAGGAGCTGGCCAGGGTGAGAAGTGGGTGAGGTCAGGGCACAATGGGCCAAGGAAGGGAACATGTGACAGACCCAAGGCACTGTGGAGCTCAGTGTTCCCGGGTAGTGGGAGCGGCCCCAACTTGGTGCCTGTGCTCATGTCACATGTCCCTGGGTCGCTCTCATTGTACTGGAAGGGGCCTGGAGGTTGTTCTGATCATGTGAAGTTCAGTGCTCTTTCCATAGTCACCTTTTGAACACTCTCCTGTGCCCAGCTTGATTGAGGACACTGCTGAGCGAGGTCCACGGGTTCCTAGCCCTAGGGTTGTCCTCTTGGACAGGGAGGCTGCAGTGGCAGTGGAGCCAGACTTCCCAGGTTGTGCATGTGAACCCCAAGTGCGGACATGGCCATTGCCCTGTCCCACAGGCCGAAGGCTCAGCCAGGCCTTGGAGGTCCTACTTTGATCCAGTAGTGGTGGACTTGTGGGAGCCCCGGTTCTTTATGGCGGGGACAGTCCTAAGATAGTCACAGGGTAATGGCAGGTGCTGAGGCTCTGCGTTCCTTGACCCCTGGCTGGTTGAGGGGACTCCCTGTCCTTAGACTTGACCTGCCTGTGACCACTGCTGGCTTTACTGACCTGGTTGTCCTGGGGGGCAGGTAACTAGGGGGCCCCTTCTGAGGCCCTGTAGCCTCTTCCCTTCCAGAGGAGAAGTCATGGTTTTCTGGGCTCAGGGGCCCCTCTGAGCCAGCATGGAGCAGGCTCTTGGGACATCGAGGTGAGGGAAGAGATACCCTGTACCTCAGGGATATACTGTCAAGTCCAAGAAGTGGCAGGGCTGGTGGCCTTGTCTGGTGGTTCCTCCGCTGCCCAGGGGGAGCTGGCATCTGGGCCTGGGACAGGGTGAGGAGAGGGTCAGGACTGGCCCTTTCCTTGTGGTGTCTGTTCTGCAGCTCATGAGGGAGCCTCTGTGCTCTGCACAGGACAGCCAAGACCCAGAGAGGTTACATTTACCTGAGGTCACGCAGGCACAGGGGCCAAGCTGGGACTTGAGTCCTTGTGGTCTGAGCCCAGATTCCCTGGGTGTTTCAGGGGCATCCATCCTCCCCTTACTCTGCCCTCCTCAGGGCCCTGGGGTGCCAGTATGTTCGAGGCACACTTTTCTACGTATTCCTGGGTGTCATTTGGGGTGAAGGATTAGGGAGCACTCACACTTTTGAGGTTCTGGGAGTTGCTGGGCTTAAGTCACTGCTGTGTCACTCCAGCCAGGTCACCTGAGTCCCTGAAAGCCTCTGTTCCTTGTCCCGTGGGGCCTGTGTGGTCCCTGCTGCTGGGCTCTGGTCTTACCTGCCCTAGGGGTGATGCATGTGGGGGGTGGGGTGGGGGTGGAGCAGAGACTGCTGGTCGAGCTGTCACCCCTGTTGCTCCATCTGTCTTTCAGAGTGGTTAGAACAGCTGGAGAGGTTGGGCCCGCATCTGGCAGGGCTGTACCAGTGAGAACCCTAACTTTCTGGGGATGGTGGTGAGAGGCGGGTGGAGGTGCCAGCCAGGTTCAGGTCTGGCAGCGAGGTCTGGGCCAAGATCACCAGGAACCTGGGAAGACTGGTCTCGTTCTGTGACCTCTAGGCCTTTTCCCACGACCCTTTGGGGGTCTCTAACTGTGGCTCCTCTACTCCCGACTAACGGGGGGGGGCATTTTTGCACCAGGCACGTTGGATGGGTGCAGTCATGGGCTATGAGTCATCCACTCCGCCCAGGAACGCAGAGGAGGACGGGCGCGTGTGTCCTCTCTTGTCCCTGTCTAGGATGGCTTTGTCCCCAATTCCGGGAGCCCTGCTCCGAGCCTCCGAGCGCGCTGAGAGCCCCCGACCTGTCCTCCGGCGCCCTCTACTGGCCGGCCTTCCCACGGCGCCCGCAGGCTGCTGGGCGCTGGGCCAGCGGTCCCGCGGTGCCTTCAGCAGCTTGCTCTTCACTGCAGGATCCACAGAATGCGCCACCTGCTGGGTCGCGTCCTCACGTAGTTCTGGCCAGCTGTGATCGCCCGGGGTCAGCCGGAGAAGGGGCCTGAGAAAATGAGACTCAGGGCCAGTGAGCAAAAGGGCCCGGGAGAGAGAAGGAAGGGAAACTTCCCTCACTGGCCACACTGATCAGCCAGGCCTGGGCCAGGCCGGGCGTGGAAAGCCACGTGAAGCATCTGTGCAGGGCCTTCTAGGCATGAAGCTGGCTGGGGTGGGCAGGATTGTCACCCCTAGTTTAACAGACGAGGAAACTGAGATTCGGGCAGGGGAAACGGCTTGCTGTCGGTCACTGGTTCCCCAGGCTTGGAACAGCATGGTCGGCAGGGAGAGGGAGGGGGAGAAACAGAGGCTGGGTGTGTGGCCCCCGCTGAGTCCTCTGCATTACAGTCTCAGTTGAAGTGGGCCGGGGGTTCGGTCCTGGTGGTCATGTTCCTGGGGCTAGGCAGGTCACTGGGAGAGGAGCCGGGAGTGGGACCGAGTGCAGTGGGGAGCTGCCCCGCCCCAAAGCATGAGCTCCTTCCCCGCAGCAGGGGACAGGCCTGTCTCCAAGGAGGGAAAGTGAGAGGACTCCAGCAGGGGGCGTGCTCCCTCAGCGTGGGGGCCACGGCCTGTGCATGCTGGTGGGGCGGGTTGGGACCTCATGCAGGCCCAGAGGGTCACCCGTGGGCTAGGCCTCTAATGCAGCCCCACCTGCAGGCTGTTCTGCTGCGGCTTCCGCCAGGAGCTCTGCTGATCCCACTGATAGGATTATATCCAGAAGATGAGAAGTATAAAACAAAAGAGGCCTTTATTCTGAGAACACGGAGAGAGAGAACTGACACCCCCTGACCACTGGAGTCTGGCTTTCTCTGTGGTGGACACATGGCGTCGGGGGTATTTAAGTAGTCTTGGTTTGGGATGGAATCTAAGTGGGCATCAGGGATGCACGGGTAGCCCATTGGTCTAGGTTTGGCACCATAGGTAAATTCCTAAGGGGCGGGGAAGATGGAGTCACAGGTAAATTCCTAAGGGTAGAGGAGATAGGAGCTCTTTGGTTCCACCTTTAAGGCTTCACCAGCTACAGTGCCCTGTCTGGGCCAAAACCCTTTCAAACCTCTACACCACCACCTGCCTCTATTTCCCGCACTTTCTGCTCAGCTCGCCGTGTCGTGCATCTGGTGAGTCTCAGCAGTCTCCTTGGCCACCCTGAAGTCCATCCTTTATGGATCCACTGGACCTCAGCGCTGCCAGGAGCTCTGTGGGCCCCCAAACCCAGCCTCCAACTTCTAGACTCAGTAGAGTCAAAGCCTCACGGATGTTTGCAACTCAGAAGCCTGGGGAAAGGCATTGGAAGAGTTATGGTCATGTGGAGAAAAAGGCGCCTCTGCTGGGGAATTAACTTAGCGCCTGCTGTGAACTGAGGCCTCCGCATCCCTTGATTTCCCTGGGCGAGGCGGTGTCCTTTGCAAGGAGGAGGGTACATCATGTGCTCAGGAGGTGCAAGGGGACTTCCTGGGTGCAGCGCAGGTAACAATGAGGTGCAGCTGGTTTTTTGGGGGGAAAACCAAGGATGATTCTGGGCTGAGTGGGGAAGTAGAGGCAGCCATGACCACACTGGGCAAGAGTTAGTGGGAGCCGGCCCAGCGCAGGGCTGTCCTGGAGCCTGCGCTTGTCAGCCTTCCCCGTGGTCCATTACGGCCCTTGTCTCACAGGATGTAGGGTCTTTGGTTAAGAATTTGGACTTCAAAGTGGGGTCTTCAAGGTCCCCTGCCCCTGCCCTGCCTGCCATCTTCAGCCGCCTTCCAGATGTTCAAAAGGGGACCGTTTATTGAGCATTTGCTACTTCTTGACTGCTTTCAATCCATTCAGCTCAATGCTCTATAAACCCCCAGCCAAATAGGTTTGGTCAGCCTCCTTTTATCATTGGCGAAATGGAGGTATAGCGAATCTAAGCTGCTTGTCACAGAGCTGGGAAACAACAGAGGAGGGATTTGAACTGGGGCTGTCCAAATCCTGGGAACTACTCGGTCCCCTGTACTGTGCTGCCTCTGACATGGGCTGGGCGAGCTTCTGATGGCAATGCTGGTGGCCGCAGGTGTAACCAACTGTGCTCTTACACATCATTGCTAAGTGGAGACCATGCAGGGGAAGAAAAGGCACTGGCTAAGGAAATCTGACCTTTACTTACCTGTGTCAGCCTGGGGTTTCTGAGGAAGCAAAGTTCAGCTGTGAGAACCTTCCACCCCCTGCTCGCCCATCCAGCTCCTTCTGCAGCATCCTTGGGCAAGAGCCTGGCAGAGGTGGGCTGGGAATCTATGCCTGACTGAGGAATCCAGGATGGCCCCCCACAGATGGAGCTGCTCCATCTCTACCCTCGTTTGTTCCTGCGGATGCTCTGTGAGTTGCTCAAGGAGGATGAGCAGGCCAATGCAGATCTGCCCCTGCTCCCTGTCCTGTAGCCAGAGAGGAGTGGCCCAGGGGCTCAGAAGCGTGGGGCTGCCTCGGGTTAGAGCAGTGTGGTGGCATCAACCTCTGGGGGTGCTGGAAAATGTGCAGAAGCTGTTTTTGGGCATTCATGTACAGACGTTGAATTTTTAGGTAGAAATACTGTAAATTGCTTCTTATGCTTCATTATACTAAGGGCATTATATTGATTTTTAAATTATGGAGATAATTATTTATGGATTTCAATTCAGGGTGGCAAAGAGGAAATTTAACTATTTCCTTTCAGAATGGGGCACTGAGTGTGACAGGACTACAGGTCCTGCTCAACAGGGCTGAGCCAACTGCTGGTGCCCACACCTCTACAGAGCGCTGCGGCTGAACCCCCCTTCCTCATCTAGTCCCCCACCTCTTCCGAGCTGAGGGCCTCTCCACACAGCCCTTGTGAACACCAGCGAGCCGGGATCTGGTTTTGATCCCTTGCTGTTTGGGCTGAGATTCCTACTGGCAGCATGGCAGCCTCAGCTTAGCCCAGTCTGCACCCCCAAGCTCTCCGTGAGGATCCTGGTTTCTACCCTGGCTTTCCTGAGGCTCACTTCTTAAAACATCCATCTCCGTTTAGCTGGGTGTTACCAGGCATGTGTGTCCTTTAGCCAGTGTCTATTGAGAGCCTCCTACCTTCCTCCTGCCTAGGAGCAGCTTAAAATGCGTGGTTCTCAATTCATAACCAAATCAGTGCTTGCAGCTACAGGACCTCTCCACCCCAGCCCATCCTGAGGCTGGACACGCTCCTGTCAGTGGTGGTTGATTCTCAGGGTAGTGTGTGGCCCAATTCCTCCTCCCCTTATCCTCTGAGCGAGACTTGTGACACATTTTCTACCTCTGTTTGGGAGTCACTGTGTGAACTTGGGAAGAAAAGTTCCATAAGCATTTGGTTAGTTTCTTATCAGGCTGAGGTGAAAGAGAGCCGAGGACCAGGAGACTGCACGGAGGCTAACTCACCTGGAGCCATGGTGGCACTGTGCGTCACCTTCTCCCCCAGGTAACTATTAAAGAATGATTGGAGGAAAGAAACAAGAGTGTTGATACTTCCCTAATGCAACAGATTTGGAGCCCAAGAACATTTGTTTTGGGGAGGATGAAGCAGTCTTGCTCTCATCCTAAAGACACCGTTCATGGTCTTTTAAGCCTTTTGAAAATGCGTGCAGCCAGTGGAATTAGACCTGCATCATATCTTGCATCCAATTTTCTTCCTAAATATTTCTCTTTAAACAGTATTGCTATGCAGATAATAGGAAACAGGGAGAGAGATCTTTTGCAAATGAGAAGGGCACCAAGAGATGGAGGGAAAAGGAGGAAGGAGAGAGAAAGGAGAAGTAAAAGGAATTAGGACTTGTGTACACTCACCAGTTCCCTGTGCTGGGTGTAATCATTGTATACTGCAAATATGTGCTGATAAAAATAAAAATTTACAATGTTTCTGTGCATTTTCTGTGACTTAATAACAATAAAAGATTGGCTTCCTCACTGTTCTTTCATTACAGGTCACTATAAAGATGAAATGAGATGGCCCAAACGTTTTGAATTTGACACAAATACGCATGCATGAAAACGTATTAGAAGTCATACTCGTGACTGAAAAGCTTGATCCTTTATTTTGGCAGCAGCTTCTCTGTGGTATTCAGCCTGGCCCATCCTTGTTCTGATGTCACTGATTTGAATCCACTCTTTTTTTTTTTTTCTTTTTTCTGGTACCGGGGATCGAACTCATGACCGCCTGCTTGCAAGTCAGGTACTTATGCCGCTGAGCTAAATCCCCAGCCCCCTTGAATGCACTCTTACAGTTAGCTCCTGTTTTGTCTTAGTGGTGTCGTGCTGACTTACATGGAAGCTTGGGATGAGTGCTCGTGTCTGACGAACCAGTGCAAACCCTGAAGTAAGAGTCTGATGGCGCAGTTCTCCCGTCCCAACTTTGGGGCACCGGGAGTATCTGAGGGTCACCAGGGACACAGGGCCCACACTGCCAAGGCTTTTCCTTCCTGTGGCTGTGTCCACTTCCACTCTTGGTCTTTGTGTCTGCAGGGGCAGGCTCTCTGGGCCAGGAGAGGTCAGTGCTGTGTGTTATTCAGGGGCTAAGGAAGAGTCTGCTGTGAGGAATACTGCTCGAGTTCCTGAGATATAGCAGAAAAGCCATTGCCACCAAATTCCACACTTAGAATCCCTACCCAGGATAGAGAAACAGAAAAAGAGCAAGGGATAAACAGCAGCAGTGCCTTGGGGGTCTCAGGAGCAGTGGAGGGGGAGGGAGGATGGGGTGGCCTAAGGACCCTCATGTGACTTCCCCACTGCCTATCACATTCTACCTCTTCTGCCTCAGTTACCCACGCGCTTCCCTCAGACTCAGGCGTCTTCTGGCCTCCAATGAGGCCACTTCCTTCTTAGTCCTTGGCCTGCAGACCTCTCTTTCTTTTGTGTCCCCACTGGAGTCCTGGGCTCAGGTTCTTGGGCTCACACAGTGTCCTGTGCATTGCATTGCCCGAAGCCTGGCTCCCAGCTTAGGACTGATGGCTCTGGATCCTCCACTAGAGAGCTGCAGGGGAAGGAGAGGGGCGAAGGCTGTACATGGGAACAGAGGAAGTGGGGGAAGGTGACGACCTAGGCTTAAAACTTGCCTCAACTCAGGAAATGGGGATGAGGTAGGCGGGACACATACTTCTCTTCAGGGTCACATGATGCAGATTTTAGTTTTTTAAAAGCCTGATGCCCATTTTCTAATTTGGTTCATCTACACCATAGTTAGAGATATATGCTGTTCCTCCTGAGATGCTGTAACACTGATGGCCACCCCCACTACTGGGAGAACTTTTAGTTAGGCCTGTGGTCACCTGATACTTCTCCAAGCCTTCTAGGAAGATGAGTAGGGACATGTGACCGAGAGCTGGCCTTTATGTCCTGGGCGGGAGTAAGGCATCCGTGACCTTACGAGTGGGCACCTTCCCCTTTTCTCTTCCCCTCCCTTGGCTGAAGAGAGAAGTTGTTTGGGAGCCATCTTTGGCCACATGGAACAGGCAGGGACTGGCCGCAGAGTAGGGATGGCAGAGCCCCAAGACAGGCGTGGCCTATGCCTGGCCCCTGGTCAACACTGGAAGTTTCTCCTGGGCAGGGGAGGTGGGCCTTGTTATTACAAAGCTGATTTTGAGAAATGGATCTGCTTTCCTCACAACGAGAAGAAGCAGTTCCTAGGTGAGAATGATGGTCAGAGCCTTGGTTAGGGTGGATTCTCCAAACCACAAATGCTCCCCATGAAGCCTTTTGGGATAGAAGCCCTCACCATTGCTTTCTATCATACATAAAATAAACAGATGTTTTGGTTACTTTTCTCTTGTTGCTGGGACAAAATACCCAATCCCCAAGATTAAGAAAGGGAAGGTTTATTTAGCTCACAATTTGTGGAGGTTTCAGTCCATAATCAGCTGGCTCTAAGGCAGGATGGCATGGCACAGGGGCAACTGTTCATGGTAGTGGAAGACAGCAAAAGCAACAAGAGCAAAAAGAGAGATGCATGAAGAGAAGAGACTTGCTGTCATCTATATTTTATGTTGGCTACCCACCCTAGGGTGGGTGTAGCAGTCACACTCATAACCCCACCATTGGACCATGAATCAATCACAAACACTAGAAGCCTGCCCCCATGAAGGTATGAGGCTTTGGGGGGACATCCAGACATCAACCATAACAACAGGTAAGTAAGAATGAACAATTTAATTTTTAAAAGATAATCCTTAAATATTGACTAGGATTTTCTATACATTATATTTACATAATGATCCCGATTTTACCTTTCTAAGTGTAGTTTCCTAAGAGAAAAAATAAAATGTGTCATAGTTTCTGGGGCTCACACTGCCTCCTCAGGCCAGCTGTGTCTGGGCATAGCAATGAATAGAAATGAAAAAGTAACTGTCCTCTCGCCTTCTCACTTACCCCTTTCTGTTTTGAGTGTTTCTGAATAATAAATGCAAAATCAGGTTTGGGTATTAAAAGCTAGATGACCACCCCAATCTAGGGCTGTGTTTTTTTCCACGAGACCTGGGTCAGAAAGGACAAGGGAGCATTCTGCTCACTTGTCAGCAGAATGCCGTGACGGAAGTCAGGGATCACCCATATGTGTGTTTTGCTCAGTGGAATAAAGGCAGGCATAGCTGGCATGAGCTCATCTGTGAAGGTGGATGCCGAATGGAAAGCCCATCCTGCTGCAGCATCAATCCTCAGATACGGAAAATAACTACAGTGAAATGAAAAGTATTTCAGGAAAGTGTAAATTGTGTCCACAGTGGTGGGCCACGTTGCTCAATAGGTTGAAATTTATGGACGTTGTAAAACTAGCAAACTACAGTCTTGGACGCATAAACTGGAGACTTTCCCATGAGGATATAAAATTTGAGGATAGATCCAGTGAATTAGTTTCTATCTCCCAAGTGTTCATAATGTGCATCTGAGATGTCTTGCTGTTCCATGAGTATTTTCAGGTCACCTGGACAAAGAGTTTTTTTAAAATTCTATTTTAAAGAGGGTAAAACTAAACATAACAAAGCAGAACAAAGCAGATCAGAAATTTCAAAGCAAGACAATGGGAGATCATCACTGTCTATCATACCGTCTCTTGTTTTTTTCCAATAGTTGTCCATATCTTCACACACAATAAAATAGTATAAAACTGATCAGAACAGAATGATGAAGGTATTACAGGCCTTCAAAACCAGACAATAGGAAAATAAATGGCTGCCATAATATGTCTCATTCTCTTCAAAATAGCTGTCCATACCTTCACGTATGCTGAAATTAAACAATACAAAACAGACTAAGACCACTCTGAACAGAGAATAATAGCCTCACTGGATTTCACAGCATGACGCTACAGAATCAGCACTGGATACCATGGTGTCTCTTTTTCTTCAAAGTAGCTGTTCATTTTATCACGCATTATATAATCAATCTTTATAAACGGACAAGGAGTCTTATGGACTTTGAGACATTATGATTCAGGATTTTCATACCCTAATGTTACAGGCAAGGCTTCATTTTTACGGAATATAAAGCACTCCGTTTCTTCCACATTTAAGAGTTCATCAAGAGAAGCCACTACCAGATCGTGTTCCTGCAGCATTTCTGGGTAGCGGGACACTGCTCGCTCGATCCTTGCTGAGCGCCGCACAGGGGTGATGAGCTTCATGTCTTGCACTTCTGGCATCCCACTTATTCTGAAAGACAGCAAAAGATACATTTACTTATCTTTGGTCTTTTGGAGACCAGTTCTTGCTATGCAGTTCAGGCTAACCTTGAACTCACTATGGAGCGCAGGTTGGCCTTTTACTTGTGGTGATCCTCCTGCCTCAACCCTGAGTGCTGAGATTACAGTGTGTGCCAACATGCCCAACTGAGAGATGCATTTCAAACCCTGTAACATTCAAAAGATTCTACTTGTTCTTTGTTTCTTATTCCATAATAAAATGACACGTTTCTTTTTTTTTTTTTTTGTCTTTTTCATTTTTATCGGTACCAGGGATTGAACTCATGACCGCCTGCTTGCAAGGCAGGTGCTTATGCCGCTGAGCTAAATCCCCAGCCCCGACACATGTTTCTTATAAGTTGATATAAGAGATATGTCTAGAGTGGCTGTCAGCCTATGAAGGCCTTTCCCTAATTTCCAGACTGTATTTGCAGTGGTCATCTGCTCCTGGGATGGTCCAAGCACATAGAAAGCATCAGACAAGAGTAGTCTTTATTTGATGTCAGTTGTTTTGCAGCTAGTATTTGTTTACCCCATAAACTTACAAAAGAGTTAATGAATCTTAAGGAATTGGACCTAATATCAAATTTGGTTGGACTAATGGCTTCCAAGATTCTTCCTAGCTCTGACAAGAAAATTATTCCAAAGATAGCTTTTAAGATGGGGAAGAAAGGCACAAATTGGGGATCTTTCTTGTAAATGCGTTCCAATAGACAGCAGTGGGGAGGACAGGGCAACGCCCTCCCATGTAGTGACTCTGACCCACAATTCACACAAGCACTAGACAACACTAGCGGGTGCCCAAAGCTGAAAGCTGTCATAACATAGCCTCGAGGCAACAGGGGGGGATCACTTGCTTTTTTTCATCTGCAGCTGTTAGCCACGGGGAGAGATGTGTCCAGCAGAGGGGTTCACAGCTGGACAAGGCAGCTGTTTTTCAGGCAACTGAAACACACAACTATTGTCCTGGTGCTCTCTCAAGATCAGGAGCTGAGGAGAGCCATGCTACACCTACCTTTATGAAAGTGAGGCCGAGAGCCTGACACAGATCTTTAAAATGATTAAATGCATACACGTTAAAAAAGCAGAGCACTTGTGACTAGCACAACCGCCCTCCCTGCTCTCCCAGGGCTCTTCACTGCTCCTCCTCACCCCATAGCTCCAGAGCTGGCCCCAGTCTGGGACCTGGTGCCACCCCCCCTGCCTCACCCCTCTGTGCCAGCCAAGTAGAAAAGGAAGGAGGGAGCTCTAAGTGCAGGGCAAAGGGGAGTGGAGGCGGCCAGGAGGAAAGGGCGAATCCTTTCCGGCAGCCTTCCGGGCTCCCGTGGTCTCTTCCTCACCACAGGTCGCTTCCTGCGGGGTGGAGGAGGGGGATGAGATGTGTGCAGAGGGGATCCCACCCTCCTACCAATGCTTTCAGCCTCTCCTCACCCTTGGCTCCTTCCTGGGTGCCAGAGATGCTCAGGGCTGCCTGGGCCTCACAGGAAGCAGAGTGATCTGTGAACTGCTGTTCCTGTGGAGCCCTGAAGGGGCCGCCCAGCACTGAACTGGAATTCGGTCTGTGATCACAAAGCCTGCTTCCCAGTCTGCTTACCTGGGGATGGAGGAGATCTGTAACTTGATACCAGGATGATTATTCTGCCCCACCTTGGTTATCTGGGGAGTTGCTGGAACCTGGTCCTGCTCTTCTGGAGGAAGACAGGACTCTTCAGATTCCGTCTTCTTGACCAGCTCTTCCATCAATCTGATATTTGCAGAACCTAAAGAATCAGGGGCAGCTCCTGTGTATGTAAGAAAGGGAAGTAAGGGAAACAAGATTTAGCAATTTAATATTTAAAGATCAAAAAAATGAAAACGTAATCTATACAATGATTTCCCAGTGATCTTCACTAAGCCCCATTAGACAAAGAGCCAATGATTGGACTTGGCACTTATAACTAGCTTTTCCTGCTAAGCCCCACAGCAGTGTCCTCTGACATCAGGCCACCTTGCTAACGAGCCTTCCATAGAGCTTCTGGGCCTAGATAACCCTTCAACCGAGCACTTCTCCAGTATTTTTTTTTGGTACCAGGAATGGGACTGAGGACCTTGCGCTTGCTAGGCAGGCACTTAGGTCGCTGAGCTGTATTCTCAGCCCTAACCTCCAGGCTTTTCTATCCTCGAGGGCTCTTGTACAGACTAATCACAGGTCTTCTACCTTTACATCATACCGTGGATCGATTTTCTTGGCTTACTTGACTCTATTTCCCAATCTCTTTACCCAGGGATGACCACATGGCTATTACCTTAGGAGTGAATAAAAAATACTTTGTAATGGCTTAATTTTCATGATAGCTCACCCACAACAGCCAAAGTGAAAGGAAGTAAGTTAGACTAAGATAGGCTGAGCCCCTAAGAGTATCACTGGGCTGCCAAGCAGCAAAGGCATGGATTAATATTTCCTCTAAACTTTTAAGAGAGTGCTGTGTGTTATAAATAAAATATCTGAACCGCAGAATCACTTCCAGAGTCTATAACTTATTTCTACAACTTATTTTCCAAAAGTAGAGGCCACTTAGCTATAATTTCACAGTACTCAATTGTTTCCTAGTTAAATCTATCCTTCAAGGAAGCAGTTTGGTCACCTTATAGGAAATATCCACTTTATTTTTTTAAGATTACTTGTTTTGCCTTAGTGTTCATACAACAAGTACTCAGTGCTGGGCACACTAGCTCTCATAAGAACATCCTCTACAAGTTCTGACCAAGGACAGTAATGGTTAAAAGAAACTTGTGATGGCTATTTGAAGAGATAACATGACTTTAGATAAGTGTTGGTGGATTTACTGGAATTAACACAGAACTTAAACCAAGGCATCTCTCCCTTATGCCTGAGTGTTTTCTGGTAAAGCTCCTGGGGGTCCACGAGAGCCCCAGGAAGGCAGGACCCTTCAGGTTGCTGTGGTGGAAACAACCTCTGTAGAGTGTTGGGCACACATATTCTTGTAATAATAGAAATAAATTAGCTGATGGCAATGGCTGAAAGGGTCAGGCCATGAAAACAAAGAAGTGAGGGGCACACTGGGGGACTACACAAGTATCAGTACCTTCTGCAGTTCTGTTTTGATCTTGCAAAATATTAAGAACAACTTCCCGTAACTCTTGAATTGGCTGGAGAGAAGAAGAAAATAAAGGAGTACTATTAAAAGTATCTATGGAAGGGAAAAAAGAGTCAAGGAACTTTAACATTAAATAAACTTCTAGTAATAAAAATGTTTCCTTTGAAAATCTCGTGTATCTATAAACACTTAAAAGGTTTTTTAATTTCATGAGGGAAATGAGGGAACAGAGAAAATGGTTAAATGTTGGCAATGACTTCAGCGAAAGATGTTTAAAATGTTTATAACAAATTTCTCCAAATCTAATTCTATTTTCCTATTTACTTACATCACTGCACTGAAGATGTGATCCTACATGAAGATTCTGGTCCAAAGAGTAAAGTACCCTACAGAAAATGTATCACATATTTTTTGTGTTGTCTTAGTTTAAGTCTTGTTTTCATCATAAAAATCATATACCTCATTTCAGAAAAATTGAACAATAGGTTAAACTTAACAAAGAAAATCACTAATAATCCAGGAAAATGACTGGAAAGGCTTCACTAGAGAATATCACTACTTTAAGAGGAAAGCTCTAAAGATAGTGATATTGAGGATTCTTTACTAAATTGATATCAGATCATTCTATGGTAAGTCTTATTCATGTGTCTGGGCTTTTACTATTGTATGCTTTTTCAAATCCACCCCTTATATGCAAACAATCCCGGTTAACCAGCATCTAAATAAAGCCTTTAATGAATAACAGAGAAAAGCAAAATAATAACAGTGATGATGAGAAAAAGACAGAGGGAGGGAGGGACAAAGTGAAGCAAAGCACTGAGAAGGAGCAGGCACTGCAGGAAGAGGGAAAAGTGCTCCAGGCTCTGGGAAGTGAGAGATCACTCGACTCCAGAAGGGTTGAAAAGGTGTCTTTGGGTGATGATGGAGATCCCACAATGACAGCTATAGAGACAGGTGTAAAGAACATGTGAACAGTCAGGAATAATGGAAAGGTCTCAAAGAAAAAGAGGAGAAGAAGCCATGCGCCTCTAGTGAGCCTACCACTGAGGCCAGGTAGAGGCCATGCCCTGAGGCCCCACAGCCATCAGGGAGCATCAGTGAGCTGCCACCCATACCCCTCTGGCACCCTGGGAACCTTGGATGGGAGAAACCCAGGTGCCAATCCCTCGCACCGTGGGACGGGAAGCAGTGCAGGAAGCACCCAGGACTCAGCAACCTGCTGATTTGGAGGAACACAGGAAAATATCAAAATGAAGGTGCGACCTCAGACCGTCAGCTCACCCAGAACAAGTTGAGGAGACACGGACACAGAAGAAGGCAGAAGTCACACACCTGAAATTTCTGCAATGATGGCAACTGAAGTAAAGGGACAACTTAGAGTTTGTACTGTTTGGTTAACTTTGCAGGCCTATCTCTGGTAGTCTGAGCAACTATTTAGAGGATAACAATGTGCAATAGAGTAACTATGGTTGATTTCCTGCTGTCTTGTTTTTGAAATCCAAGATCGTTCTCATTGTTTTGTTTTGTTTCACTCTCTTTAAAATAAAAAAGTACTTAGAAAGTTAGAAAACAGTATGAAAACTAATTACAAAGGTAAAATAAGAAAATAATTAATTAAAGGAAAAGGAGAAGTCGTGTTTGAAAAGCAGTAACCATACAATTTACTACATGGGTCAACATATTCATGTTTCTTAAATATTCATAGCAACGTGGACACTAAAAAGTGACCAGAATTTCCATGTGACTCTAATGGAGGATTAAGGATGGAAAAGGCTCGTGAGGATGACGGATAGGTGTGCGTGTTCATGTGCTGGAGATTTGTACTGTGTATACGAAAGTGGGTTAAACCTCGTCATGTACAGCAGAAAGTCTACAATTATGTCTAAAACTGAAACATCAAAAGCCAGCAATATAAGCATGTTTTCTGGAACTATAGTGGTAAAAATATTAAAATAATCATTGTACTCTGGGAATTAGAAATGGGAGTGGAAGGAGGCAGAAGTTTTATTGAATGAACTTTACTCAGTATGTGACTACTGAAATGAGCTGTGTGAAATACCCTAACAATCACGGAAACAGTTATTGTAGAATAGCAGTATGAAATGGAAAATGGCATTTAAGTGAAGAGTTACAAAATTATTTGATGCAGTTCTTGTTAAACAACTATATAGATAGTGCTTTTTAAAAATTTCATGCAATATTGACTATATTATTTACATATGGATATTGAAATATTGAACTTAATATATTTTTAGGTTCTTTATAAATATTAGAGTTTGATGCTATAACTGTTTATACTATTACTTTCCATAATTGCATATTTTTATAATTAGTGTTTTGAGTCAAATGGGACATAGTCACTTGATAAGGTGGTTTGCATGTCATAGTTCTTCCTATGAAATATTTAAATATGTTCACAAAACATATTGAATTTCATATTCTGTGTATAACTTTATGAAGTGAGTTAAGAGTTTAACACTGCATTATATAACTATCATATTATGAACAAGAATGAAACCCTACGAAAGAGAATTTTAAGAAGTCACCCACCCAAGACAGACACTCACTTTTGCTCCATTTTTAATGGCTTCTTCGTACAGCCCAATAACATCAAAGGTGCCTTTTCTTGCCAATAGCTTTGCTTTGCAGATCCAGAATTTAGCGAATTTTTCAGCCTCAGGAATGTTGGACAAAATGGTAGATATTTCATTAGAAAGTACACCCTGAAAAACAGGAAGTATCCAGAGATAATTAGTACCATTTCACCATTACTTTCATATCTCCTAGAATTTATTACAGATGACATGCAAACATTGGTGTGATCATCTGAGCTTGTTAAAAGTTTCAACTTTATTGAGGGACAATGTACATATAATAATGTGTACCCATTTTAATTATATGTTTCAATGACAGTGATCCTTAGATTTTAAGAGTTACATGAGATCAAAGAGAAAAATATTTATCACAGCAGAAAGTAAGGAATATGTTTTACATTTTTATGTAGGGAAAAAGTGAAAACAGGGCTCAGGCTGCAGCTCAGTGGTGGAGCACTTGGATAGCCATGTGTGAGGCCCTGGGTTCAATCTGCAAAAACAAAACCAAAAACAAAACAAACCTTAGAGTTATCAACAGTTCCTATACAACATTCACAATACTATACATTTAAAGTGGGAATGGTGAACAGTGGCCAGAATTCCCCCATGACTCTTAGTGGCAGAAAGAGAGATGGTACAGGTATGCAAAGGTCAGGGGTGTTCCCATGGTGTACTGGGGATTTATCATGGGTGAATGTAAAAGGGTTGATTCCACACACAGCAACTTTGAAATGGCTTCTGACGTGGGCCAGGAGGAAAGGGGAGTTTCCACCACCAAAGCGCAGGCACTGGTTCACTCACCACCTGCTCCTCAAGAGATGTGGGTCACATCAAAGTAAGCTCACAACTGAGAGTCATCCATGTTTGGGGAAACCAATATAATGTGAAAGAGGCATAAAACTCATTAAACAAGAAAGAACACTGGAGCAAAAAGTTGAGGGAGGAAAGAAGAATAAGTTTAAGAGTTCTACAGTCAGTATCGTTAGAGCGCTAAGAGAGTACTGCCACCATTAAACTCGAATGGGCTGTTTTAAGGAAGACCTACAGAGGGGCAGAACAGCACACAGACAGGGCTGAAGAAGGAATTCACAAGCTGACAGTTCAGCTGTGCAGTCCTCCCAGCGCCCAGGAAGATGGAACAAAGAAATGAACAGTATGAAATAAAATCTAGAGTTCTGAAGGACACAGTCATTGTTCAGTAATTCCGATATCCACCTCAGAGAATTCCTAGAAGGAAATCTTAAGTGAACAAACCTGAGCATACACAAAGCAGATGCAGAAGGAAACTTTTAAGAACTGAACAAAAAAAATGATTGTTTTGATTAAAGACCTCTTGAAAGTCAAGCAGGATGAATGAAAAAAGAATAGTAGTACTTACTAAACCAAGGATAAAAAGAAAATCCTTAAAGATCTGAGAGAAGGAAAGAAGAAGATTACCATTAGAAAAGTGAGACTCAGGTTGGTATGTGACTTTAATAAATTAACATCAGATGCAAGAAAGAAAGGCAAGAGGTAACTTCAAATTTTCTAAGGAAAACAACCTGAAATTAGGAAATTTCCCCAGTCAGACCGTGATTACAAGAGGGCAAATTAATGACATTTCCATAAGCACTTAGGATTCAAAATTTACTGTTAGAAAACCATAAAGTTCCTAATAAATGAACGTTAGAGTTCACACAACAGACTTGAAACAAAATTCAAGAGTATAACCTGCAAACCATGTTTCAACTTATATCTACCATTTTATTTTTTATTGTAATTTACTATTGCCTTTATGAACTAACACTGTATAAAACAGAAATAAGGGGAACAAACAAACATGGATTCATAGAAATTGAGTTATAAAATAGCAAGTTAAGTTTAAATATGAGTAATAACAGTACATACATGTATATGGGCTATATTTGTTTTTTACAAGCAGAGTTACTGATCTGTTAAAAAATTCAGCTGCACACATTTGTACTGGACATTCCTAAAATGAATAAATTCATGAGATTTAAAACAAAGGGGTGAAAAGAGTTCTGCCAGACAAATTCTTACAAATGGCAAGATTAATATCAGACAAAAGAGAAATCAAAGCCAGCCATGACTCTGTAAGCACCTAAGAGAGCTTTGAAAGCCAGAAAGCCAAAATTGACAGAACTACAAAGGGAAACTGTCAATGACCGTCCTCCTTCCAGAGAAACTCCAGCATATTTCTTTCAGAGAGTAACGTATTTGGTAAACAAACAGAATATACATCCTTTTCAAATTCTTTTGGAATATCTACTAAGAAAGATTAGGCATTAAGACCACAAGGAAAATTTCAATAAATTCCATCAAGCAGAATAAATATAGTAGAATATAGCAGAATTAATACTAGTCATAGTTATCAACCATGATATGGTATAATTGGAAATTAACATAAAGATGGCAAGAAAAAAAATCCTACAAATTTAGAAATTCAGATACTCTTCTAAGAAGACTTCTGGGTTAAATTAGAAATCAACAGGGCTGGGGATATAGCTCAACTGCACAGCGCCTGCCTGGAAAGTACGAGGTCCTGAGTTTGATTTCTAGTACGAAGAAAAAAAATAGAACTCAACATGGAAACTTCTAGCCATTTAGAAACGAACAATGAAAACAGTATTAAGCTGTTGTCTCTTTGCTCTAAACCCACTGGTCACCCCTGCTTTGTGATGTTGGAGCTGAACTCCTCAGACTTCTTGCTTGATAGCTTTCTGCTGGGTTGTGCCAGTCCTGGGCACTAGGGGGAGACAGCAGGCACTAGAGAGAGAAGGGAGGAGAGGGGCGCTCTTGTTACTTGCTTTTGGCACCCCGCCAGGAGTTCCTCACCTGGTGACAAAGGCTGGTTTTAACCTTCCCTTTTTTCTGGCAGTCACGGATCCACCTCACTGTGGTCCTCTGGAGGCAGGGGCATCAGTTGGGTAGCAGCCTTCCCTCAAGATCTGAGCCCACACCCCAAGACTTCCTGTCCCCGAGGTCCCAGAAGCTGCCGGGTACTGTGTGCTCTATAGTTAGAGTCTTGTGTCCACCGGGCTCATCTCTCCTAGTGCGATACTATAAAGGATGTATTTAGTTCTCCTCTATTTCTTGGCATACAATTCTTAAAATTCCTGTCATCTCCAAAGACGACTGTCTTTTGTACACTAAAGAGTCGACTGATAGGCCCCAGGGAGATGCCAAGATGGCAGTTGGCCCCTGGTAAGTCCAATACAGAGTTAGAGACTTGGGATTTTCAGCCCTCCCACCCCCAGCTCTGGGGGGAGGACTAAAGGTTAAGCTAACTGCAAATGGAGATGATTCTGTGCTTCTGTAAGGAAGCCTCCCCTAAAACTGCGAAAGGTCAGGACTGGGAGAGCTTCCGTGTAACAGCATATGCAGGCTCCTGGAGGATGGTGTGCTAGAGGGAGGAGGTAGCCAAGCTGCGCGCCTTCCTGCGTGCCCTATCTTATCCATGCCTCCATTGGTGTCTTCTATAACAGCTTTTACAATAAATAGGAAAATATAAATAAACTTTTCCTGGGCTTTACGAGCTACTCCAGCAAATCTGTCAAACTAGAGGAGTGGAGTGGCTCACATGGTCTCCAGAGTGGCCCACGGTCACCGCCTGGGGAAGAGCCTGACACCACATGCTGTCGGCCTCCTTCCCTTCCTGGTCTCACAGCCTCCCTGTTACTCCACTCTCTGTTTCCCACGGAAATCTCTTCCTAATCAATCACTGGCACACAAATCTTCCTTTTACAGTTTGTTTTGAGGGAACACACATGAGTAATGAGTAATTATATTATTTTTTAATTGAGATATTTTTGTAACTTGATCCTGACTGATAAAGTATATTAGTCAAATCTGAGGGATATGAGCAAAATGGAAGAAGCAAATTTATAGCATTAAACGTATTTGTGAGAAAATAAGAAGGATTGATTTAAATCATCCAAGTTTTCAACTAAAAAGCTAGAAAAAGAATGATAAACATAATAGATGCACAGACAGAGTGCACTAAAGGGATGAAGGACAAAGTCTTGGACCTGTCACCTGTTACTGATTAAAAAATGGCATTTTCTGCTGAGGTGGACAGGGCCTTAAAAATGACTGCTAAAATGTATGATTCTTCCTTATAAATGTCTATAAATGCCCAGTAAGTAACTAAAAGCAAAACCAAGACTGACCTTCATTTTTGTATACTTTTCTTTTTTTTTTGTCTTTTTGAGACAGTCTCACTATGCAGTTCAGGCCAGCCTTGAGCTCGTTTTGTAGCCCAGGCTGGTCTTGACCTTGCAACAGTTCTGCCTAAGCCTCCTGAGCGCTGGGATTACAGGCATGTGCCACCATGCCCGGCTTTTCTTTATTACTTTAAAACTTTGAACATGCCTGGGATTACAGGCATGTTACTCATTTACGAAAGGTCTATAGAACACAGTTTATTAACTATAAATTTACCTAGCCTGTCTCATTCCTCTTCAAGATAGAGGACACCAAAATAGAAGAGATTAATTTTTAAGGTTCACAGCAACATCCAGTTACCAGCTTTTACAGAGTCCAGTTCCAGATCTTTCCTCCTTAGAATGACATCTAAAAGTTTTAGCCATTGTCCTGAGCTGGTGGTCAGGAGGGTCCCAGAAAAAACAGACGCAAAGAGAAGACAAGCTACCAGGAAGACGATCAATTCCTGGCGAGGCAGGAGGCAGAGAGGAGAAACACCTGAAAGAAGGGGGCCTGAAGACCAGAGGGCTGAAGAGTAAGATGGCTCTCCCAAGCGGGAGTGCCCAGTTCTGACAGCTAAACCGCAGCTGGGGAGGACAAGAAGCTGTGTGTGCTTAGACTTCTGGGGGCCCCCGATAAGCTCTCTAGAAACCGCGGAGCATCCACTCTAGCAGCTAAGCTGTGCCTGGGTACACATGTGCTGCGGGATATCCTACACAGCTGATAGGGAGCCAACTCAACTATAATTAATCCTAATCTCCTTTATGCTGTGGTTTGACCCGCCTCATCCCCACCCCACCGGAGGCTCTGAGTGCCATGGCAGCTCCTCAAAGGTCCACACAGGGACAAACGCTTCCCCTTCCAACAGAAAGGAGACTTGCCCCGATTGTGGTGAACTGTCATGTTAGTCAAAAGAGCTATTCCCT